CCTAAGGCATTTATAGAAATGCCAAGGGGGTAGAGCAAAAGACCTCCCCCCAGCACAGCCAAGTGCAGACCATCTCAGACACCTGCACTCAGGCCCGTGGTCCAATCATCCTCTCTATGTGCAGACCTGCTGGGTAAAGCCACAGGGAACCTGAAAACAGGCTCCCACACTCCAGGGGCTGACTCCAAGACTATTCCTTGGTCTCCCTTGGGCCTCTAGCTCCTACCCCCTCCCAGACTTTGAACCCACATTCCAGCCTTCCTGTCCCACCACAATGACCTTCCCAGCTGAGAAGCAGTTATAGAAGAGACTGTGCTGTACCTTATCATCAACAAGGCTGGAATGATGGGTCTCACAGGCAGTCCAAACATACAAAAATGAGCTCAAACTGAACTATAGGAGGATTTCTGGAGGTTAGATAAAAGCCAGCATTCCTCAGGAAATTGTGAAGCCAGTTTCCATCTGCTAAAAGGAGTCATTTCCCTTACTTCTGGTAGAAGGGACATCTGGCTGGCTACCTGGGGCACTTATCAGTGTTTCAAAGCCCATGTTGCCTCCAGACTCCCTCCGTATCACAAGTACCTGTTACACATTTCAAAGTCCATGCCAGCATCCTAGCCTTTCTCGTGCCCCCCTCTACCCTAAAAATCCCTCCAGTTCACAGGCTCCCCTCCCCCAGATACTCGTCCTTCCTATAACCTGGCTATTCTCACTATTCTCTACCTACCTGTTACTCTTACTTCCTCTCTCTTACTCTCTTCCTCTCTCACGATGCTCTATTTTCCATCTCTTGCTATCTTGCTATATCCACTATTCTCTCCCACTCTCTCTACTCCCCCTGCCAGACCTGGTGTGTTACTTTCCTTAAAAGATGACTCTCAAATTATATTAAGTTTCAGGCAGAAACAAAACAAAATAAAAACCTAGATAGTCCCTACACAAAACTAGTAAAAAGAATGAATGAAGTAGATAAAGATGTGAGTTCTGACAGAAAATGTTATCCACCGGATACTGCTATATTTAAAAAAAATACTGAACTACAATTTCAAACTCTTAGTTTGGCTTTCAAGACAAAAACCACATCTTTGTGTACATACAGCATACAGGCATAGGAGAGAACTTCAAAGAAAGGAAATTCAGCATGCCCGTGCTATGTTTTTATAGGATGTTTTTTAAAGATTTATTTTTATGTATGTATGTATTTATATGTGGATGGCATGCACGTGGATGTGGGTGACCATGGAGGCTGTATGTATTTATATGTGTATGGCACGCACATGGATGTGGGTGACGACCATGGAGGCTGTATGTATTTATATGTGTATGGCACGCACATGGATGTGGGTGACCATGGAGGCTGTATGTATTTATATGTGTATGGCATGCACGTGGATGTGGGTGACCATGGAGGCTGTATGTATTTATATGTGTATGGCATGCACGTGGATGTGGGTGACGACCAGGGAGGCTGTATGTATTTATATGTGTATGGCATGCACGTGGATGTGGGTGACGACCATGGAGGCTGTATGTATTTATATGTGGATGGCATGCACGTGGATGTGGGTGACCATGGAGGCTGTATGTATTTATATGTGGATGGCACGCACGTGGATGTGGGTGACCATGGAGGCTGTATGTATTTATATGTGTATGGCACGCACATGGATGTGGGTGACGACCATGGAGGCTGTATGTATTTATATGTGGATGGCACGCACATGGATGTGGGTGACCATGGAGGCTGTATGTATTTATATGTGTATGGCACGCACGTGGATGTGGGTGACCATGGAGGCTGTATGTATTTATATGTGGATGGCACGCACGTGGATGTGGGTGACCATGGAGGCTGTATGTATTTATATGTGGATGGCATGCACGTGGATGTGGGTGACCATGGAGGCTGTATGTATTTATATGTGGATGGCATGCACGTGGATGTGGGTGACCATGGAGGCTGTATGTATTTATATGTGTATGGCATGCACGTGGATGTGGGTGACCATGGAGGCTGTATGTATTTATATGTGGATGGCACGCACGTGGATGTGGGTGACCATGGAGGCTGTATGTATTTATATGTGTATGGCATGCACGTGGATGTGGGTGATGACCATGGAGGCTGTATGTATTTATATGTGTATGGCATGCACATGGATGTGGGTGACCATGGAGGCTGTATGTATTTATATGTGTATGGCATGCACATGGATGTGGGTGACCATGGAGGCTGTATGTATTTATATGTGTATGGCACGCACGTGGATGTGGGTGACCATGGAGGCTGTATGTATTTATATGTGGATGGCATGCACGTGGATGTGGGTGACCATGGAGGCTGTATGTATTTATATGTGTATGGCACGCACATGGATGTGGGTGACCATGGAGGCTGTATGTATTTATATGTGTATGGCATGCACGTGGATGTGGGTGACCATGGAGGCTGTATGTATTTATATGTGGATGGCATGCACGTGGATGTGGGTGACCATGGAGGCTGTATGTATTTATATGTGTATGGCATGCACGTGGATGTGGGTGACCATGGAGGCTGTATGTATTTATATGTGTATGGCATGCACGTGGATGTGGGTGGTGACCATGGAGGCTGTATGTATTTATATGTGTATGGCACGCACGTGGATGTGGGTGACCATGGAGGCTGTATGTATTTATATGTGGATGGCACGCACGTGGATGTGGGTGACCATGGAGGCTGTATGTATTTATATGTGGATGGCACGCACGTGGATGTGGGTGACCATGGAGGCTGTATGTATTTATATGTGGATGGCACGCACGTGGATGTGGGTGACCATGGAGGCTGTATGTATTTATATGTGTATGGCACGCACGTGGATGTGGGTGACCATGGAGGCTGTAAAAGGATGTCAGACAGGACTCAACATCATCCACACCACGAAGGTGTCTCACTTCTGAATTGGGGAAAAACTGAGGCCTCCTTCCCCTACCTCACTGCCAGCACCGTGGCAGGAGAATAGCCAGAAGGGAGAGTGCTCAGGCCTGTGACAACAGGCCAACCACTGTGAGCAAGCTAGGGCACAGGACTAGATGTGCAGCTGGCAGTGAGGGTGTGTACAGTTAAGAGGCTGGCTTTGGGCAGGACCAGGCATGATGCATGTGATTAAGAGGCATGGATAACCAACATGATGCCTGTTGTAATCTGGCTCTGGCCCCTCGAACCCCAAACATAGCCCCCTTTCATTGTAGAGGAACTGCTGGGTTGACATTGTAATCCCAGGCTCCCTCAGTTCAGTACTCCAACAAGTTTCCAAGCACAAGAGGCTAAAGGTCTTCCTATGGCCCTTGCAGAATAAGCCAGGACAGCTCGAAACCACTAAAACTCAATTCTCAGGGGATCCAGGACACGAGTCTGGCCTCTGTGGGCACCTGTATGCATGTGCACATATAAACATGCAGACAAGCATATACACAGTAATAAAAATTAAATTATATTAAATTTTTAAAAGGTTAATGGTCTAGGACTAGGAATGTAGTTCAGTTGGCAAAGTGCCTACCAAGCACGCCTGAAACCCTGAAACCCTAGGTTTGATCCTCAGCACTGCATAAGCCAAGTGGTGGCAAAAACCTTTAATCCCAGCACTTGAGAGATAGAAGCAGGGGGATCTGAAGTTCAAGGTCATCCTCTGCTATATGAGTTCAATGCCAGCTTCGTACATAGGTGTCTGAATTAGGATCTCTGTTGCTGTGATAAAACACTATGACCAGTCGGGCGGTGGTGGCGCACACCTCTAATCCCAGCACTCGGAGGCAGAGGCAGGTGGATCTTTGTGAGTTTGAGGCCAGCCTGGTCTAGAGAGGGAGATCCAGGAAAGGCGCAAAGCTACACAGAGAAACCCTGTCTCGGAAAAAAAACAAAAGAAAACAAACAAACAAACAAAAAAACCACTATGACCAAAAGCAACTTGAGGAGGAAAGGGTTAATTCCAGCTTACGGTTCCACATCACAGCCAGATGTGGGTCTTCAGAAACTGGAAGAGTATCATTGTGAGAGGTCCAGGCCAGAGAGGGGACAGGAGGAAGAAATGAGCAGAGATTAACCAACCCAACTTGCACCCCACTATTGTTGTAGAATATTTAACTATGTAAAGATGTGTTACATTTGTTTATGTTGCAGAATATTACTTTAACTGTGTAAAGATGTATTACACTTGTTTCTGCTGCCTTTGTTAATGATGTAAAGATGTGTTACATTTGTTTCTGCTGCCTTTGTTAACGATGTAAAGATGTGTTACATTTGTTTGTGCTGCATTTCTTTAATTCTGTAAAGATGTGTTGCTGTTTCACCTTGCCTGCCTAAGGCACCTGATTAGTCTAATAAAGAGCTGAATGGCCAATAGCCAGACAGAGAAAGGATAGGTAGGGCTGGTGGGCAGAGAGAATAAGTAGGAGGAGAAATCTGGACAATAAAGAAGGAGGAGGAGAGAACAAGGGAAAGAGAGGACAAAACCAGATCAAGAAGCCAGGCAGACACCAGCCAGCCAGCCACTGGAGGAAGCAGGACAGTAAGACAGACAGACGGACAGACAGACAAAGGGGAGAGGGAGAGAGAGAGAGAGAGAGAGAGAGAGAGAGAGAGAGAGAGAGAAAGGTAAAAAGCCCCAAAGCAAAAGGAAGATTAAGAGAAACAGGTTAAGTTAAGTTAAAGAGAGCTAGCCAGAAACAAGCCTAAGCTAGTAAGCTAGGCTGGGCCTTCATAACTAAGAAGTCTCTGTGACATGATTTGGACACTGGTTGGTGCTTTTCAAAAATGAAATTCTGCTACACACTACAAAACACCATCCCAGCCAAAGAGAGACTTCCAACCATGGGTTCTAGAAAAGCCACTTCTCTCCCAGCCCCACCCCTGCCCAGGCTCTAGCAAACTGCTCTGGAATTCAAATTCACCAGGCCCATGGCACACCCACCCCTGCCCAGCCCAGTTGCCCACTCCCCCACTGAGCACAGCTCACCTTCTCCACTGAAAACCTCGACTGCAGCAGCATCTTCCTCCAGAATTCCTCCTTTTTCTTTTGAGAATCTTTGTGAAACGATGATTTATTGAGGGGCATGTTAGACAATCTGGGTTTGTGAGAACTCCAAGGTTTCTAAAAATAAAAAAAAAAAATGGCCGCTTGGTAACCACATGGCATTCCCTCTCCTACAGACCACAGAGATCAGGGATAGGGAATAAAAAAGCAGTGATAGGGACCCCAACCTGAAAAAAGGCCAGTGGGGTATCTGGTTGGGCCTTAGAACACTCTGAGACTGAGAGGTTTCTATTTTGTGACTAGCCATTTTGCTCTGTAGGGCAGAGACTTGAGTTGCCTTTAGGGTAGACCCTTCTTTTGTCCTAGAAGTGAGGCTAAAAGGGCCTAAGAACCATTCTTCTAAAGACTAGAGTGCAAAGGCCTAAACTGATCAGTCAAAGATGGCCCAGTGTCTTACACTTAAGTATATTCATCTCACAGAAGCCTAAAGTGCCTGAATCTCACAGTGCCATGATGTATAAGCACCTCACAGCACATCGTACCTCAGGGCTGGAAGCTGAAATCTCACAGCAGAACATCATCTCAGTAGACCCTGCTCAAGCTGGCCTACATTGCCCCATGTCTGGGGCTGAGCTGGCCAATGTTGCCCCACGCCTGGGAATTGGGAAACACTGGGGCCTCTCACTCAAGTCTCAGGTCTCAGAAATCTAGAACTCAGCTGCAGAAGCAACTGGATTACTTCCTCCACCCCTCTGCCCCTGCACTCTGAGAATATCCTGTACTCAGTATTGGGGTGCTGTCATTATACCTACAAGCCCAAGGTCAGCTACCCTCCTTCGGACCTTGCTCCCTTCCCACATCCTAAAAACAAGAGCTGTCAAATCCTGGGCCTTCAGGGCTTGGAGGTGAAGACCATCTTACTGCATCTTGCCCTTCTGCATTTGCAGCTTAGGCTTTGGAGAGGTGGCACTTGATGCCCTGAACAGCTCACTCCTGGGCCAGGGCCAGGGCTGGGGCCAGGAGGCTCCATCTTAAAAACTGAAGCTATATCCCATGCTCTAACATCCAATTTAGGCTTCTAGAACTTTGTTTCCTATCGGTTCTATTCATAAGCTTTCAACTCTCAGACATGGTCTGGAGGTGCACTAGGAAAGGACTATTCCAAGACTTGAGTGAGTTAGCTACAGTGCAATCAAAACAGAGAGGCAGCAGGTAGTTGGGGCGCACACCTTTAAACCCAGCACTTGAGAAGCAGAGGCAGGCAGATCTCTGTGAGTTTGAGGTCAGCCTGGTCTACAAAGCAAGTTCCAAGGCAGCCAGGACTGTTACCCAGAGAACAGTCTCAAAAAAAAAAAAAAAGAAAGAAAGAAAAAAAAAGGATTCTGTCCCCCACCACATACACACACAAAAAAAAAAAAAAAAAAACAATGTGAGCAGGACAACTGGTGCAGGAGGGATGGTCTCTCACTCCTACCTGCTCAGATAGCTGCCTCTCTTCATCCGTGTCTCTCCGGTGTTTCATCACTGGGGGAGCTGACATCAACCTCCGACTCCCAGAAAAGCTGGTTAACTTTCTGGAAGGCTTGTGTGCCCACTTCTGCTCACTTTTACCTGAGGAGACTTGGGCTCTGGCTACACATTCCTGTGCATCTTTCACCTGTGCAGAGAGAGAGAGGGCAACTCCAGAAACCGCTCCACAAGTGGGACACTCAGACCCTCCCCAGCCCAGTGCCCAAGTCACCAGCCCTCCAGGGAACCCAGCATTGCTTCTCAGAAACCTTATGCCTTGAGAGTTCTCAGACCAAAGCTTATAAACCTACCCCTGGGCCTACTACTAATACCCTAGGCAGGATACAGCTCCTGAGAGGAACTCGGTCTCCCCATTTGAAAAAATGGACAGTGGTTTCCGAATATTTACTTAGACACTTTCAATCTTGGGCAAGCCCACAGTACAAAACAGATAAAACTTTGAGCTATTTTGGAGTATGTAGTACCTAGTAGAGTCCCTGAGCTCTGCAGGAGCTTCCACCCATCAGCACACCTACAAAGAAGTGACCTCTACCCACTTGAGGAGGTGACCTCTAGCAATCCAGCTCTATGTAGCAATTTAGAGACTGCATGTTTCCTACATCCCTGCCATGAGCCTGGAGAACCTTGTATGACATTATTGCTCAAATGGTGAAGTTGTGGGCAGGACCTACTGCCAACCTGTTGGGATTGGGAAGTGCCTAGAAGAGTAAAAGCTGTATCTGTCTAGTTGTGTCTGTGAAGGTGTTCTCAAGGAAGAAAGACCCACCCTGAATGTGGGCCCAGTTGGAACAAAAGAGAAAGCCTATTTCTCTGCTCTCCCTTTCTCTGCTTCCTAGTCACCCTGATATGGGCTACTCTGGCTGACCTGGCCCTCCTGCCATGGCAGGCTTAGAATCTCCAAAACTGTGAGCCAAGGTACGTCTTCCCGTTTTAAGTTGCTTCTGTCAGGTATTTGGTTAGAGCAGTGAAAAGCTAACAGTGGGACATCTTCAAGGAGGAAGTAATCCATTGAAAAGGACAGTGTAGCACCACCAGGCCCTGGAGTCCGACTGTCATGGTCTAGATCTACCCCTTCTTGGTTGTATGCCCTAAGAAAGGTGTCTAACCTCTTCATGCCTCTGTTTTCTGTCACATGAAGATGCTCAAAGGAGATACCATCCACTATCCTAGCTACCCTGTAGGGAAAAGGGGCTGGCTAAAGAAACTCACCCTGACCCTGGAGCCCAGAACTAGGGAAAGATGACTCAGATAAGGCCAGTGAAAGAAACATAGTTTGACTCAAATCAGAGCCATCTCTGCCCCTGACCAACTGACTTGTGAAACCAACCAATCACAGAGCAGGACAGAAGAATCCTGGCCCTGGGGCCCAGGACCAGGGAAAGAAACACAGCCTGGGTTTGGGACCTGAGCCAGAGAAATGAACCAAGGAAACATGCCCTAACTCTGAAACTAGTACCAAAATAACACTCTTGGTCCCTAGAATCAGAGTCAGTGAAAGAAATTAGTGTCAAATTTAGAATTAGTGTCAAAAAGCCAAGAAAGGCCAGTGAAAGAAACACAATTTGGCCCTGAAATCAGGGCTATCTCTGTCCTTAGCCCACAAAACTGGCCAATCCCTGGGCAGAAAAAAAACTAACCAATCACTAGTTGACTCCACCCCCAAGACATCCTATATAAACCACCCTGCCTGGTCAGTTGTAGGCTGTTCTCTCCACCCTGATAGAGGCAGCTACTCTCCTGGACTCCTCCTTCCCAAATAAATCTCTTTCTCAAAATAGTTCTGGGTGTAAAGATCTTCATTCACTGGCATAGAGAAGATCCTTGCTGAAACATCCCTCAGTGGACAGAGCAAGGAGGAGCTGAAAGAGCTGAAAAGTAACACTTTTCTCCTGAGCCAGAGAAGACTGCTACATTTCTGCAATTTTTTAGGCTAGAGAAGCAGAGCTCTCCTAGAAAGCCCCCTTAAGTGGGGGCTGAGCAAAGCTTAGCTGTAGCAGCTCTCCAGGAGAGGAGCAGGAGTGTTATATCCTGCGGGGAGACCATCCCCATCAGGTATAGTCTGACTCTCCCAAACAGTCACGATACCCTTCCCTGCTGAAGCAGTTCCAGGCCTGACTCTCCTGAGCAGTCAGAAAATTTCCCTTCCAGGATTGGGCTGCTTCTTTGCAGCTCCAGCCATTAGAGCAGTTCTAAGCAGCTCCAGGTGTCTGGGACACCTCCAGAGCAGAGCTGTCCTGAGCAGCTTGAGGTGTCTGGGATACCTCGCCCTCCAGGATTAGGCTACCTCTTTGCAGTTCCAGCCGCCAGACCTGTCCTAAGCAGCTCAAGGTGTTGCCTGACTCCCCAGGTAGTCCGGACACCTTTCCTCAGAGTTGCAAAACTCACATTTTGGTGCTAAACCTGGGACCAAACCCACAGAGTTGCAACAAATTTACTTACACACCCCACCCCAGTATAAGTCTCCATCTCTCCCTCTGCTTCCAGGTTGCTCTCTCTGCCATCCCTGATTCTGGCCTATAGCCCAGACAAAAGTGAATGGAGACTGTGATGGGAGTGAGAGGCGCCTGGGAAACAAGAAAAGTGCAGAGCACCGTACCTTCTTCGGCTGTAAAGGCAAGGGGCTCTGGGAGGCATTGAAATTCAAGATGGGCTTCAGCATGCTGACATTCCAGAGGAGGATGTCCCCATTGTAGGAAGAAGTCCCAATGAACTGGTTCTGATACTTGGCCATGCTCAGGATGTCCTCTGTGTGGTAGGTATGCCAGTGGTAGTAGGAGAGTTCCAGCGTGGTCTTTTGGAACCTGTGCACATGGCCAGAGGCAGGAGAATACCAGCTTGGTCTTTTGGAACCTGTGCACATGGCCAGAGGCAGAAGAGTCAAGGGCTCACAGGCTGCAATGCTCTTTTTGGGGAAATCATAGCCTTTAGGATTCAGAGGCCAACTCAGAGCAGCACTGTCTTGGGGGTCTAGGAGCTTGTTTAAAACCCCCACTGACCTCATTTCCTAAGCACCCATTATGCATCAAACATAAGGGCTCTGCTCTTGGGGTTTACAAATGATGAGTCTTAATTCATCCCCTGCATAAAGGTTCAGGTTTAAACAAGGGGAAGTGATAGCTGTGACCAGGCCTCCTGTAACAGAAGGGACCTTGTACATGTTGGTTCTTCCTCCTAGAATGTGTGTCCCATCCCAAGTGCTTCCCTGATACCCCTCCAGCTCATATCTTGCCCTGGGCCTCCTTGGCTAAGCTGTTCTTGACCACTCCCCAACACTAACTAAGGATTCTGCTCCTCCACAGGAAGCTTGCTCTTTCCCCACAGTAGTCAATATACTTTATAAATCAAAATATCTCATTATTGAATAGAGACTGAGTGTTTGTGTGTACTCAAAATTCCTATGTTAGAATCTAATCCTCAAGTGGGGAATGGACCTTGGGGAGGACATCTGGTCAAGAAGACAGAAGCCTCATTAATGGTATGATAAAGAGATCAAAGAGACCCTCCACCCTTTCCATCACAGAAACTACAGCAAGATGATGACCCTTTATCAATGAGGAAAAGGCCCCCACAAGACTCCACAATGCTTTGGCCAAGGACCTTTCAGCCTTTATAAATGCAAGAAATAAATTCTGCGGTATTATGCTGTGGCAGCCTATGTGACTAAGGTAGAAACTACACAGAGAATGAGGTGCTGCTCTAAGAGATAACTAAAAAAAATGCACTTTGGAGTTGGCAGATGAGGAGAGGTTGGAAGAATTCTAAAGCACACTCCAGGAAAAGCCTACAACACCATGTCTGGGCCACTGAGAATGGTTCCAGTGTGGGCTTAGGTGGTTCGGATGAGGGCATAGAAAAGGGGAGAGTTATAGAGAAAGCCATGCTGGGGGTGTAGCTCAATTGATAGAGCACTCACCTAGCATGTGTGAAGCCCTGGGTTTGGTCCCAAGCACTGAACAAACTGGACACGGTGGTGGTGGTGGTGGTTGTAATCCCACCACTAGAAAGGTGAAGGCAAGAGGATCAGAATTCCAAAGTCATCTACATAGGAAGCTCAAGGCCAGCCTGTGCTATAGGAGGGAAGGAGAGAGAGAGAGAGAGAGAGAGAGAGAGAGAGAGAGAGAGAGAGAGAGAATTGTTCCTCTAGTGCTGGAGATGGCACCCTGACTCAACATGCACTCTACCACTGAGTTACCTCCCAGTCCCATCTATTTAAAGATGACCTAAGCGATCCTAAGTTGCTGGTAACAATATGGATGATAATGACCATTATGATATCTCAAGTAGAAATAAGGAGCATGCTACTGGAAACTGGAGGCAAAGCCATCCTGGGTACAAAGTGCCAAAGAATTTGGCTGGACTATGTTCACATTCTAGTGCTTTATGGCAAATAGAGCTTGCAAGCCATGAGACTGGGTTTTATTTGAGGAAATTTCTAAGAAGGATATTTGAAGGTGTAGACAGTTATCCCCTGTTCATAGTAAAATTCTAGAAAAGAAAAATAATTTTAAACCAGAATTGTTGAGCAAAGGGGAAGAAACTCGGGGGTTGCTGCTCAATGACAGAGTATTAACCTAGCACATATGAGGCTGTGGTTCAGACCATAGTACCAAAAAGGAATGGGGGACAGAACTTAAGATTTGAGCCCTCCTCTTCTCAGCCCTTATCTACTGGAAGGAAAGATAAGCCTTTCAGGGTGTGGTCCAGACTGTGAGAATATTGTGGGTCAGCCACTTGACAGAAGCTGTGTGCTATGTCTTAAGACAATGGAAGAATGACTCTCGGAGCAATTCAGGTATTTGAACTGTCCTTCCTGTTGCCAACGGGTTTCAGAAAAGAGGCCACCAGTACAAGTTAGACCTCAGCACCCCTTGCTCTCAACACCAGACTTCATAGGCTCTCATCTCACACTCTGGTATCATGTTCTTTAGCCATGCCAGACATAGTTCCTGAGGGCAAAAGTATGATACAAGCTATACCAACAGAGATAGGAAAGCTTGGCTAGATTCTAGCGGGCAGAGCAATGAGTCCAGAGCTGCAGGCCCAGACAGCCACAGGACCCATGCAGGGAACAGAACATTCATGGCAGCATGGCCTGGATCCAGAGCCACCATGAGGGCACAGCATGCCAAAGCCATGGAAGCAGGTTATCTAGAGGTTTGCATATTCAGCTCCGACAAAACAGGAGCTCCATCTCAGGAGCCTTGGAGGCAGAGCACCAAGAAAGAGGATTATTTCTGTGTCTTAAGATGACTCAACAGATAAAGGTGCCTGCTGCCAATCACGATGACCTGAGTTTAGTCCCTGGAACCCTCATGGTAGAAGTAACAAACTGCCAGGCAGTGGTGGCACACGCCTTTAATCCCAACACCTGGGAGGCAGAGCCAGACAGATCTCTGTGAGTTCGAGGCCAGCCTGGTCTACAAAGCAAGTTCCAGGAAAGGCGCAAAGCTACACAGAGAAACCCTGTCTCGAAAAAATCAAAAAAAGAAGAAGAAGAAGAAGAAGAAGAAGAAGAAGAAGAAGAAGAAGAAGAAGAAGAAGAAGAAGAAGAAGAAGAAGAAGAAACAAACTGACTCCCATAAGTTATACTCTGACCTCTGCCTATACGCCATGGCACACATACCAGACAGACAGACAGACAGATGACTGAATGATAGATGTGAAACTTGTTCCAATGAGTTTCAAACTCATTTGGGATCTTCTGCTCATTCTTTCCCTCCTGACTCCACTCATCTGTCCTGTACCCATCTCACTGTTGGACTTTGGAAGTACATAACAAGTCCATGTCACATGTTTAGAGCCAAGAGAGAATTTGCCTCAGTATAAGTGGTACACTGGGTCTCATCCACACCTGACTTAAGTATTTAGATGATACTTTGGACTTAGACATTTTAGTTTACATTAACCAAATGATACCTTCAGCGCCACCTTCCGCTCCCACCACTAGTTGGTGGCCTTGTCCCTCCTTCCTCTGTTTCTTGGGAAAGGTGTTAGCTCTGAGGTTGTGTAATTCAGCCACCCCAGGGACCAGTACGAGCATTTTAGGAGATCAAGCCTTTGGAAGGTGGTGAGGTCATGTGGGTGGAGCCCTCGTCAGTGGGATTATAGCCCTCCACCCTTCTGTCAGGTAAGTTCATAGAAAGGAAAGAGCTTTCTAGGAACCAGGAAGCAGGGCTTCACCAGAAACCAAACTTGCTAGCACCTTGGGCTTAGCCTACCCTGCCTCTGGGACTGTAGGAAATAAATCCCTGTGCCTTGTAAGTGACCAGTCAATGGCATCTTTTTCTAAGAGACTGAAATAATTCCTCCATGGAATGCGAAGCTGCAGGGGGATAGAGACTTGTGCCACAGCCATCACCAGCAGAAGGCACCTCACTACATGCTAAGTGAATAGATGGGGAGACGCACGGGTGGGGCCATGGCTGACAGTCACCATGGATGCCCTCCTTGCTATTGCAGCTGCTGGGAAAGCTTGGAATGAGGAGAGCTCAAAATGAGGGGAGACACCCAGCAGCCCAAGCCTCCCACTCACACTTGCTGCTCACGTGAAACTGGTGATTCTCTTACTCCACCCTGTCATGTAGTATGATTTGTTCATGTGGACAATTCCACTAATCTGTTGGAGATAAAGAAAACAGAGCACTAGACTCCTCAGAGAGCATGCCTTTGGGCCCCTGGTGCTTTCTTTCCTAAATGCACCAAGCAAAAGTCAAAACTCAATGAAGGTGAGAATTCCCAGAGTCAATGCCACCATCAAGCTTTCAGAGTGCCTGCTAATTACCTAACTGGAGAGAGCTAGAGAACATCAAACCTGGTGTATCTGAAAGAGGCAGATGATGTGGGTACCCATGTTCATTTTACAGAAGAGACACTGGGCAACACATGGCCTGGCTACGGTCCAATAACTGCTGAGAAATCTAGACCAGTACTCAACCCCCCCTCCCTCTCTCTCTCTCTCTCTGTGTGTGTGTGTGTGTGTGTGTGTGTGTGTGTGTGTGTGTGTGCGCACAACCTCTTAGACACACAGAAAACTATATTCTAGGGTTCCCAGGAACCTGCTGGCTCCAGCTAATGGACCCCACTGACCTCCGATTGCTCCTGGGTGGGAAAGGTTATCAGGCACTCCCCAGTGTTGTAATTCCACATCTGCATTTTGCCATCACGCAAGCCCGTGAGTAGACAGCGCTCTGACTCGTCCAGGGACATGGCAGTCAGCTCACTTTGCGAGGTGCCAGACACAGAGAACTCCATCCTCTTCTTGCCCGTGGTGATGTCCCACACACTCACTGTGCCCCGTAGGCAGCCACTCACCACCTGTAAGTGGAGCACACAGGTGCCCCAACTCACTGCAGGGCAGTCCTAAGTATGCCATGGGGCCCCTCCCTTCCACACCCCCACCTTCACCCTGGCAACCTGCACAGCATAGGTAATGCCTGAAAACAGACCTTCCTGGGCTCTGTGTCAAAAAAAAAAAAAAACTGTAGCTACTACTCTTTTTAAATGAATCAATTTCATAATGCTCTCATTAATTCAAAAATAGCACTTGGGGACTCAAGTTCCCGGAAGAGGAGGAAAGCCACACCTATATTAAAGATACTACTCTTTTTAAATGAATCAATTTCATAATGCTCTCATTAATTCAAAAATAGCACTTGGGGACTCAAGTTCCCGGAAGAGGAGGAAAGCCACACCTATATTAAAGATCGCGCAACACTGATCCACTGGTTAGAACTTCCTGACTATGGAGGGTTAGAATGTTACAGAGCTAGGACCCAAATGATCCTGGGCTATATTTAGATCCCTCTTAACCCACCTCCTGTCTGACCTGACACCTCTTTGACTCTGAGGGAACACCTTTAAACTGTGTTAGCTTAGCAGACCACCAGCTTTCCCAGACCCTAAAGCTGAGAATGACGTCAGGTGACACCTGACAGCCAAGTTTCTCCTGCTTTACCGTCTTCTCACCCATGTATTGAGAAAACGCCCCAGTGCGTGGCTTTTGTTTCTCCCGTGTCTACGAAAGCTCACGTAACCGCTTCAACATCAGAATACGTAATTTGGGGGAACCTGAATCCATGTTCCCAGACCATTAGTCATATTTGCTTCGTGGTTTGCATCAACTCACTCATCACTCTCTCCAGAGAAGAGAATCAATGGTATAGAGAAGACACTTGCCAAAGCACCTCTAGTCAGGACCAAAATGGGAGCAAAAGGCCAAGCGGGGAAGGTTCCTGGACTCTCCACAGAGAAGCACTGAGGACAAAAGATGGCTGGGCATTCACTCCCTTCGTCCTGTTCCAAGGCAGTCACCTGTGAAGCTACTTTAGACTGGCACTGGCATTCCCACTGGGAAGAGTTGGGTGTGTTTACAAACCTAACAAAAGCTGTTCCGCAGCCCCGAAGAGCCCGAAGGCAGCTAGAGACTGAGACAGTGGTACTAAGAGCCAGAATTGGAGGAGAGCTCTGGCCAAAGGGCACTCTGGCACAGATAGTCACCCTGTCCACAGCCCAGGCCAGACAAGAGATGCCACTGGGAGTGGGCAGAAGCCTGCAGCCCTTTCTGTTCATGTTCCTTATGCGCATTGTGTGTGCCCAGCTGTCCTGCACAGTGAGGTATCTCCTCGGCACCATAGGGCACTGGCTGTGGTGCCTTTCCCATGCAATACAGAGTGCAGCTTCCACAAAGTGGTACTCTGGGGTAGCTCATAGGGTGGGAACCTTGAGGGACACCCGCACCAGCATCTGTTTCCATGCTAAGAGAACTGCCTGCACAGCACTGACCTAAGTGACAGCCAAGGCAGGATACTCAGAGGGTCCACAATCCAGTGACCAGATGGGGAGCTCCGTCAGACCCCATGACAACCGCTCTGCAAGACCACTTCATGTCTACACCAGGGCTATAACCAAAGCACTAATGATTTCCAGAGTGCCACATGAGCTGACTGTTATGTGAATGCAGACTCGGGCATGTGGAGACACCTGAGTCCTGATGATATCACCGGCGCTCCTCCCAGGTGCTGAGGCCAGCCCTGCCCACTCACCTGCTTGAAGATCTTGCTGTAGAGGACCGCACACAGGGCTGTGCTGTGAGTCGTCAACTTCCCTGTTTTCATGGGCCCCTGGGATTCCAAGTACCCTCTGAGGATCCCAATCTGTGGGCAGGGGAGGGGCAGACAGCTGAGCAGTCAGATGGGCTCTGCCCTCTGTGACTAAGGCCTTGAAGAGAAACCTCCAACATCAAGATATCCTGTACCCCTATGAGGTTCCTCAGAAATCCAGAATTCCATTTCTTCTCTTATCCTACTCCAAGGCCCAATTTCCAGGACTGGGACTCCCAGTCCCTCATGTTCCAATAATCCCCCTGAGACCCAAGTCCATGGTCCTCTCACCTTCTAAGGAGCTAAAGCCTCACTCAGGTGTTTCTTTTGTAACCAGTCTGGCAGACATGAAGCTATTCTAAAGACACACTTGTGTCTTCCAATCTGACTATGAGACTGTTGAAACAGTGGCCCCAGAGAAATGGGAATTTCCTCAGGATCTCATGCTGTGAAAAGGAAAGGGTGCTGGGGGCGGGGGTGTCAAAATAGATAAAGATGACTTCTCTCCCGGAAAGATATTTCACATGATTGTACATCGGACCATCTTACAGGAAAGTACTGAAGCCAGACAGTAATGGGCCAATGGCCAATCTGCCTGGGACTGTTTAGATATACATACCCTTGGCTCTCTATTTAAAATTGAATCTCACTTCAGGACCCCAAAAATGGACCTGGGGGGTTTGTTGGATCTCTTTACACCTCTTCCCAATGTGACCATACTGAATCAATCTCCTTTTTCTGATTTTCACTATCAATTTGGCTTTTTGCTTATTTGTTTTTGTTTTTGTTTTTGTTTTTGGTGGTTTTTTTTTCCCGTTTTTTGAGACAGGGTTTCTCTGTGTAGCTTTGCGCCTTTCCTGGATCTTATTCTGTAGACCAGGCTGGCCTCGAACTCACAGAGATCTGCCTGCCTCTGCCTCCCGAGTGCTGGGATTAAAGGCGTGTGCCACCATCGCCCGGCTTGTTTTTGTTTTTTAAGACAGGGTTTCTCTATGTAGCCCTGGCTGTCCTGGAACCCACTCTGTAGACCAGGCTGGCCTCAAACTCAGAGACCCATCTGCCTCTGCCTCCCGAGTGTTGGGATCAAAGGTGTGTGCCATCACCACCCAGCTTTAATTTGGCTCTTTTAATTGGCTCATCACGGACCTGACTTGAGGCACAGATTGTGACTTCCAAGTCCAAAAACACCTTCAGGAAGCCTTCTGTGACCAGTCCAACCTCAAGGTCAGTGCTCCCTGTGCTCATGAACCCGCAGAATCCAACACTTTCATATGAATTAACCTTACCTTAGTAATATACTCTCACATCCCAACAAAGCTAGGGGGTAAATGCTGTCATGGTCCCACCCAGAGAGTCTACACTAATGCCCAGGAAGATTGAAAATGAATTTCAAAGGTCTGTTTAATTTTAACAATACTGACAGCAAGTCCGGCACCCATCAGAGATGTAAGCACTTTTCTCTTCTCTTTCTCTCTCTCCATAAACCTGCTGCAAAGGAGATAGCCAGCCATGTGCACAGAAAGACATCTATGTCCCTTGGCCGGGTGGTCCTGCCAACAGTGGGTACATGGCTTCAGTGAAGCTCTCTAGACAGACGCTCCTGCCACTTGTCTGCCACTGGGTTCCCACGTGGGACCGGGTCTCACCATGCTCTAGTCAGTCCTCCCCTCCTGCCATCCTCAAGGTCAGGGCAGACCCATGGGCACCAGGCAAGTCATAGCTCACAGGCACTCCTCCTGACAGTTTTCTTCCTGGAGTTGGTGATCACAACGGATGGGGTCAAAGGAGCATGGAGGGATGACAGGAGAGTCTGAAGAGTGCATGAGTGGGGAGGGAGCAGGGGCAGTAGGGGTGGAGGAAAGGATGGGCTAGGGTCCAGAACCTGCTCTCGAGGAAGCTCAACACCAGAGCTACACAGACTCCAGAGCCAGGCCAGCACAGGACACAGACCCTGTCAGCTGCGCCTGTTCCCAGGAGAGCACTCACGTTGTAGGTGCTACAGATGAGGGTGCAGTCTCTGTGGAAGTAGGCGCTGGTTATGGGGCAGTTGCCCAGGGTGAAGAGCTTCCCGCAGAAGGACTGGAGGCACACATAGTCTTGCAGGTCCCACACACGAATGTTCTGTCGGGAACAGGCAAGAGGCAGGAGGGTCTGCACCAGCAGCCAGCACCCTAGGCCCTGGGGATGCCCCAGCGAGCAAGGTCACCCATGTATAACGTACACGCTGTCTGTCACAGCCCCACCCAGAGAGGCTAAACTAATGGCCAGATAAAGCATGTTCTCAGTGAGTGAGAGGGAACACAGCCTCCTTCCTCAGCTTTCCTAAGCCCCTCTGTCCTGCCTGGACTTCTAAGCTCAGCAAGCTAAAGGCAAAGACAGCAGGTGGCCCGCACCCTCCCCCAGACCTTCTCTTGCTCCCCAACTCCAGGCCAGCTCTACTCTGCTCAGAGATGGGCTCTGCCCTCCCCAGAGGCTGCTGAGGTTTGTGGCCACCTATACAATGACTAGGGCACCTCCCTGTGGGCCTTTGGTAAAGTGTGAGACCACAGGCAGGAAGGTTACCTCTGTGCCTCAGACTCCTCCCAATACAGGCTGAGCTACATCAGCACCCCAGGGTCAGTGTCTTTTCCTGGGGAACAGAGCTAGAGGGATGGGGGACAAAGGTATGTTCCACAAGGACGACACCTTGTCCCTGGAGATGCTGATCAGGATGCTGGTGTTCTGGCTGTTCACAAGAAGGTGAGTCACTGACGTCTGATGTCCCTTCATCAGCCACACAGGCTTTTTTGAGACCAGAGGATTCCACAGGCGGATGTGGGGGTCATAGCCACCAGTTGCTGGAGTCAAGAAATGAGTATCAGCTACCAGGGCCTACACTGGGACCTCCTTCTAGGGCCAGGCCTCAGACTCCAGCCAGAGTTGGCAGATGGGGAAGGTCACTGGGACTTGTCACTGTCCCTCTTGCCTTTCCTCTCTGTGTCCATGTATGACAGCCTGAGTCACACCCCACCTCCCAGTGATGCAGATCAGCAGTGGAAGAAGCCATGTCCTAGGCTCTGGTCATCCCCAGGCTGCTGCAGCCCCCCAGTCCAACTCTGTTTCTGGGGAATGAGAGATTACTCACCCAGGAAGTTCCTGTCCGGACAGTAGTCAAAGCAAAGAATTCCTTTTCTTAAATTCAATGATGATAACCTAGAGCAGAAAATCAAGGGGGGAAAGACGCAGGACTAAGAGCAGCAGCCTGGGCTTTGGGACTGGAGGAGCTCGGAGCTTGGTGGGGAGGGGTCAGTATCTCTCTACCCAGGAAGGAGAGACGCCTCAGACCTGCCCAGTGCTCACTCAGCACCAAGCATAGCCCAGTGAAGTAGCAGGTGCCCAAATCAGTAGCTCATGGGGAGACACCCACCCTTTAGGAAGAAAAAAAAATCCAAACGTGAGCAAGTCTTTGTATTCGTAAAGCATTTTGCATTGTTCCAAAAACAAGCTTAACATGATTTCGCACCTACCACCCTCAGGCAGGTATCCTCCAAGCCAAGACACAAATAAAAAAAATTTAAATAAATTATAAAAAAAAAAGCAGCTCAGGGCCACTGGTGCTGTGCCCTCACTCTGTGCTGGATGTCATCTCACAGGTCACCGGGACCCCATGTGCAATCCTCAAGAGTGGCATGATGCCATGAGAACAGTAAGATCAAGAGCTGACCTATGGGTGCACAGTCAGGGACCTACAGAGGGATGAGAACTCTGCCCTGGTGGGTACAACAGGAAATGGCTCAAGACATCCAGGAACAGGAAAAGAGGAGGAAGAAGAGGAGGAGGAGAGGCGAGGCAGGGCTCAAAGGTCAGAGAGACCCCGACAGGACCACAGGGCTGTCAGGCCCCCTACACAGGCCACTGAACTGCCTGTCTAGAAGCTTCCTGAGACGATAGCCAGGCTGACTCTTCCTTATCGCCTTCACACCGTATCATGTCTAGTCTAGGGCCCCTTAGCTTCCATATCATCAGTCTCCCAGCTGTTTCTTAACCTCCAGCCTTGCTTCAGATTTCCAAGAGCACATCAAAGCATGCATATCCCACCCACTGGCAAGCCAGAGAGGTGGGCCAGTAAGAAGGCTTAGTCAGTAAAGGCACTTGTTGCCAAACCTGATGACAGGGTTCAACTCCTGGGACCCACACCATGACAGGAGAGAACCAACTTTCACAAGCTGTCCTCTGAGCTTCACATGAGTACGGTAGTGTATGCCACCATCCCTATAATAAATATATGTTTTAAAAAAAAAAAAACAGATGCCTCCATCTACACCTTTAGGTGCAGAGACGTGTTCTGGAACAGCAGTCGTCAGGAGGATAGAAGGAATTACTTCAGACTGACTCATTCACCTATGCAACAGACATCTGCTGGCTCCTGTTCCCTGCCAGGACTCAGGGGTCACTGTGCTCCCTGCCTTACAGATCTTGTCTCCTGGAGCAAAGCATAGGAGCAAGGAAATGAACAGAGACAGGAGGGACAGTGACCAGCTATGAGAAGTCTGCGGGGGACGCAATGGGATGACTTGGCAGAGGGAAACTGGGTGACTCATTTTAGACAGCCTCTCTGAGAAGGGTGATGGGAGGCAGAAATCTGTAGGGGAATTAGAAATGGCCAAGGGGAGCATGCAGAGAGGGACGGGGCTTCAGACTCAGGGAGCAGCTAGTGCAAGGTTATAGGGTTGGCAGAAGTAGTCAGAGGCAAGGCAGTGGGGGACTGGGCTATGAAGGATTCATGCAGGACCCCAGAGGGATGAGACCTGCAGATGGTTGTGTATAGGGGCAGAAGTCAGAGGGGACCTAGTGAGCAGTGACAATGACTTCAGGTAGGAGCTGATGGAAGAAATAAGAAAAGAAAAAGGAGGGGAGCCAGGGTGGGTCAGTTACACACTCCACACCAGCTCCTATAGCCCCAATCCCTGATCCTCCGCCAGCTCCGCTCCTGACCTCAGTCACCTGAAGAGGTCAGGTAAGACCAACTACAGTGAAGCTGGATCCTCGGGGCCCTGAGAGGCTGAGGCTGACTCTGCAAGAATCAGGTTTGGCATTTCAAGTCTCACCTATAGTAGTTACTCGCCCAGAAGGCATCAGATGCCAGAGACCAGCAGGCAGCCAACAGTGCCACCTCCTGGCCTGAGGTGGTACTGCACCAAGACAGAAGAAGGTATGTGTATACATGTCCCCAAATTGAATATTCCAACTTCTCCACCTCCGTCCTTGGCCACCTCCAAGTCATCAACATGCATAGCCTAAACTATTGTGATAGCTTCCTCCCTGGTGACCCCACCTCTCCCGGTCCTTAGACCCCACCATCGCTCTGCTCAAAACTATCTGCACTTTGCTTATACCTGATTCCAAAGAATTAGAGCAAGGCATTCCAAGGTACTTGGGAAATATTAACTCAGACTAGTGTCCAGGTGATAATAAGAAATTGTGGGTTTTTATGTTCTTATGTATATATTTGAGATGTTTCAAAATAAAAATGTTAACTAAGAAAATGAGAGGCAGAGAATGATGATGCATGATGCCTTTAATCCCAGTACTTAGGAGGTGGGCAGATCTCTGTTAGTTAGAGGCTAGCCTGGTCTACATAGTGAGTTCCAGACCAGCCAGGGTTACATAGTGAGACCCTGTCTCAAAATCAAATAAAAATAAAGAGAGAATGGGGGGGGGAGGGAGGAAGGAAGGAAGGAAGGAAGGAAGAAAAGAGTGAAGGAAGAAAGGAAACAAGAGAGAGCTCGGGCTTTGGCTCAGTGATGGAGTGCTTGCTTAGCAAGCACAAGACCGGTCCCCTGGCAAAACAAGAAAGCCAAATATGGTGGCTCATAATCACAGTGCTAGGGTGATGGAAGCAGGAAGATGGCAAGTTCAAGGCCAGCCTGAGCTACACAGCAAGACTGTCTTTAAATAAATAAATTTAAAAAAAAAAAAAACAGGGAGAGAGAGAAAGGAAAGAAGGAAGGAAGGAAGGAAGGAAGGAAGGAAGGAAGGAAGGAAGGAAGACAACAAGCAGAAAGAAGCAGAGGGCCTGGGGTAGGGGTGTGTCTGAACTCTGGGCCTGTGGACCTTCAATGGAAGACAAGACAGGTAAGAAGGGGAAGGCATCAGAACCAGCCACCAGGGGCCACGGTGAGGTGGCGCTCTGGCCTCCTCCTGCCATCAAATGCAATAAAATAAAAAAGTCTAGGTTGAAGGAAACAAAACATGTCGGAACTGTCTCAGAGATGGAGTGCCCGCGCTCGTGGGGGTTGTCCTATTTCTGCATCAGGGCCTATCGTAGGAAGAGAAGAGGCGCCTTTTGACACCTAATTAACGTGTTCTGCAGTTGATGGGTTTTGTCATTTGTTTTCACTGTGTGGTTTAACACATGCCACCAGAACATTCTCTGCTCAAGGAATCCCTAAAGCCTGAGGTCGGCACTGGCTTCACCCTTCACGGGTAAGGAAATGGAGGTTTCAACCCAGGGTGAAACCACTCACTTTCACTACTTCATTTACAAATGTATTTTGAGCCCAGCCAGCGGTACAGGCCAGTAATCCTAGCCCTTGCAGGGTGGAGGCAGGAGGATCAGTTCAAGACCAGCTTGGGTTATGTGAGACCCTGCCCCACTGTCCCCTTCACAAAAGAGAGAGAGAAGACAAGACATGCCTTTTGTCTGCCTCCCTAACATAGGCTGGGGCTGATTTGTGTTGCGTTGTTTGTTTTGAATACATTGGTCAGTAGAGCAGGTCTACTGGGGCTGGGCAAGTGGAGCTGTGGGTAGAGTACCTGCCACACAAGCGTGAGGACCTGAGTTTGAATTCCCAGACACCGCTGGGCAGTGGTGGGGCATGCCTTTAATCCCAGCAGTCGGGAGACAGAGCCAGACGGATCTCTGTGAGTTCGAGGCCAGCCTGGTCTATAGCGTGAGATCCAGGACAGGCACCAAAACTACACAGGGAAACCCTGTCTCAAAAAAAAAAAAAAAAGAAAGAAAAGAAAAGAATTCCCAGACACCATGGAAAGTTGGGCATTTGTAGTGCACATCTGTAATCCCATCTTTCTACAACAAGCTATGATGCCAAACCAGGAGAACCTTCCAGAACTCACAGGCCAGCCAGTCAGGTATGCACAGTGGTCAACAAAAAGATGCCCTGTCTCAAGCAGTGGGAGATGAGGACCAACACCAGAGGTTACCCTCTGACATCCACATGTGCACTAAGGCATGCATTCCACCCCCAACCCCCAGACCACACACACACACACACAGGCAGACAGAGACAGAGAGAGAAAGACAGAGGGAGAGATAGACAGACAGACAGAGACAGAGAGATACCCTTTTGCAACTGGTAGACATTCCAGAATGATGATTAAACAGAATCCAGAGCCATGTGCTAGGTCCTATATCCATTGTCAGCCTATGGGATACAAGCTGCTTCCCGGGACCCAGCACAAGCCTCAGGTCAGTGCCCTGCTGCTGATGCACCAACTCAGAGGTGCATCCTCTCTCACCAGGGCTATCTGCATGTGGCAGAGGAAAGCCAGACCTATCCAGGGCACATCTGCTGTCCCCTCCCTTTGTCAGGTACCCCTTACCTGGGTTTCTCAGGGTCTTTGACTGGCAGGATTATCAGCACCAGCGAGGACTTCTCAATGGCTGAACACGAGACCACCAAATTCAGCTGCGGGATGAACTTGACCTGATGACACCAGTTGGGGTGGAGATTCTGGGAGAGAGAATGGCCATAGCAGGAGACCTCCCAGGGACAATCGAGTTCCATATCCCACACCTGGGTCTTAGCCAGGGCCAATGCTGGATGCGACTGGAGTTACAAAATCTAAGGCCCTTGCCTTAGTGACCACAGCTTGGGCAAAGTGAGGTGGCCCATAGTCCTATCCAGGTCCCATGACCAGGGTGTCTGGCCCATTCCTGTCTCAAAAACTGTTTAAACACACCAAACCTACCAGCATCTGGATTCCTTGTGTCCTAAGAGTCTCTTGGATTTAGAAGCCAAAGGCCTGGGCTCGTTATAATGTCATTCCTCCAAGCAGGGAGAAAGGGTGGAATTGAGGGTGTCTAGGCCCTAGTCTGTCTTCTACTGGCTGCCTCTACTACAAAGAGCCTGCTTTTCTGGGCCCACTACCACCCTCTGTGTTTGTCAGACGCAGTAGCTTCCAGGATCCGGAGGGGCAAAATGCACACGCTGCTAGGACTATAGCAACAGGGAGATAGCTCCCAGAGGGCCGGAAAGGCAGGCTGGCCAGCCTCTGACTGGCAAGATTTTGTCAACTTGACACAACCTAGAGTCACTTGGGAAGAAGGAGCCTAACTGAAGAATTGCCTCCATCAGACTGGCCTGTAGTATGTCTACGGGTCATTTTCTTGATTAATGATTGATGTGAGAGGGTCCAGCCCACTGTGGGTGGTGTCAGCCCTGGGGAGGTGGTCCCAGGCTATGTAAGAAAGCAAGCTGAGCAAGCCGTACCCTGCCACGGTCCCTGTCTCAGCTCCTGCTTGAGTTCCTACCCTAACTTCCCTCAATGATGGTCTGTGATGGGGATGTGTAAACCAAAGAAACCCTCTCATCCCCAAGCTGCTTTTGCTCAGTGTTTTTTTTTTTTTTTTTTTTTTTTTTTGGTTTTTCGAGACAGGGTTTCTCTGTGTAGCTTTGCGCCTTTCCTGGAACTCACTTGGTAGTCCAGGCTGGCCTCGAACTCACAGAGATCCGCCTGGCTCTGCCTCCCGAGTGCTGGGATTAAAGGCGTGCGCCACCACCGCCCGGCAGCTCAGTGTTTTATCACAGCAACAGAGAGCAAACTAACACGTCCTCCGGACCTGGCTGGTATCTGTGCTTGGCTCCCAGTCTGGAGATTTCCCTCCCTGGGACAAGGAAAGTGATGAGGGAAGAATGAAGAACAGGGATGGGACACACAGACCCGACTATCAAACATTCATTCAGCGCCACCTTAGATGTGCAAGCCCCTGGGCTGGGCCTTATGTCTCCATTTCCTCTAATAGCTATCACAACAATGGTATCTAAGCCAAGGCACTGAATGAGGCCTGGGATGCTGAGTAACTACGGAGCAAACTTCATTGATGAGATAACCACAGCTGAGAAGAGGGGAAGGAGCCAAGCGGGGTGGTGCGTGTGGCAATCCCAGCACTTGGGAGATGGAAGTGGGAGAGTCAGGTGTTTAAGGACAGCAACCTTGAACCCAGTATCAAAAAGAAAAAGAAGAGGGGAGGGTGGGTAGTGTGAGTACTGCTTCCTATGAGGCCTAATGCCTGTTCCTAAAGTGTGTCCAACTCAGATCTGCCCTGAGAACCTCATTCGTTCATTTGTTCCTCAAATGTCCCAGGAGTCACTGGGCCCCGGGCACTGTTGTCGGGAACAGGAGACTGAACAAAGAGCACAACCCACAAAGTCCCTGTCCTTGAGGAGCTGTCACTGTCGTGAGGACAGTAAGACAAGAGCAATAGACAGGTAATTCAAAGTTGGGACAGAGCTAACAGCAGCGGCGGCGGCAGCAGGGCATTTGGCGCCAGCTACTCAGGACCTGAAGGAGGGGGTGATGGATGAACCAAGCAGAAGACCTCTGCAACATGGAGGGATTCAACATGGAGGAACAGCATGTGCCAAGGCCCTGTGGTAAAAAGGGGCTTGGGGAGTTCTAGGGTAATCAAGGGAGCCTGTCTCAGCAACAAACAAGAAGAAAGTCGAGAAGAGCAGGAGATGGGGAGGTAGCTCAGTTGGGAGAATGTGTGCCTGGGTTCAGTCCCCAGCACATATGTGATAGCGCATGCCCATAATACCCGCCCTTGGAAGGTGAAGATAAGAAGATCAGAAACTCAAAGTCACCCTTGGCTACATAGAAAGTTCAGGGCTAGCCTTGAATACATGAGACTCTGACTCCGGTTAGGGGATTAGAGTGCTAACCACAGAGTAAGCCAGAGGTTTGATTAGCTTGTGTTTGATACTCAAGTCAAAGACTTGAGATTGCTTCAAGTATGATGAGAAGCTGCTGGGGTGACATGACTATATTCTAAAGCAGACTTCCTCTGGTTGCCGAATTGAGCAAGCGCGTCATGGAGAGAGGGAGTGTGGAAGCCAAAGAGGAAGCCAGTGGCTGTCCAGAACGAAGATGATTTTTCACTGCATCAGGGAAGCCAAGAAGGCAGTGAGAAAGACAGGGTTAGCCCTGGGACACACCTGTGTCCTAGAGATGTGCAGATGGGACACAACAGCTTCCTGCACTCTGTCCTTAGAGGCCAAGCCCCTAAGAGCTGAGGCTGAGCCTAGAGGGCAAATCCATTTCAGGCATTTATTTTTGAGCAGGGCACATATGTGGATAATTACAGGCTAAGGAAAGCCACACTTACCTTCATTCGGAAGCTTCTATACAGAGGGGACTTCTCATTTAAGAGTCTTCGCAAAGAAACATTGGTCCAGAAATCTGACAGAAAACATTCAGAGTCCACATTAACAACCTCTCCTCTAGCAGCTTAGACATTTTCACTGATGTGCATCCATGCTTCCCAGAACGCCAACCAGTCAGCCGCTCATTGGAGCCGCCTGTGACTTCATGAGCTTGGCAATGCTTCCAACTGTTTCCCTGCTGCCCAGCACGGCTCTGCAAGCCCAGAGTGCAACAGTGACCAGCTCCAGGGTCTACACACTCCCGAGTGCTGCCGTCCGAACAAGGTGGCTCCCCATTAGCGCATTCCAGAGAATGAATGGAGACTTCAGGCTGTATTCACTTTTAAAAGTGATGCACTGGTGACTTGCCATCATATCATGCCTCAGGATACATGGCCCCTCGGCCAGAAAGCAAAAGTCCCGGGAAGTACAGGGTGCATGCGTGCTTTATGAGCAAGCAACTCCTACATGCCAGGCACTGCCCACACCAAGTGCCCTGCCCTTGTAAAACTACCTAGGTAGCAGCTGACGAACCCCCAGGGAGAGCACACGGATACAGATGGATGAGTCAGTGGTGCCAGGCGAAGCTTGTAGGGTCAGGAGCTGTTCAAGGAAGTAGGTCAGAAATGCTGCTCAGTTTAGCTTTAGGTCTGAAAGCAACTCCCAGGAATCATGGAGGAAAAACACTGGAGGGGGTGGATAGTGGTGAAGTCTGTACAGGGGTAAGAGGAAGCTTCCCCCACCCACCCACCCAAAAAAAGAAAAAAAAGACCCCCGGTTGGGGAGATAACTCAGTCTGTAAAGTACTTGCTACACAAGGAGGAGAATCCTACTTCAATCCCCAGAACCTGTGAAAAGCACATTTGTTCCCAGAGCTGGAGAGGCAGAGACAGGAGGATTCCTGGAGCTTGGTGAGCCCCAGGTCCTACTAAGAGACCCTGTCTCCAAACACAAGGTGGACAGTTCTTGAGGAATGATGCCTGCCGTTGGGCTCTGGCCTCCACACACACGTGCACATACATGCATAAGCATCCAGAAAACACATGTACACACATATACACGAACACACACATGCAAAAGAAGTCCTGAGCCAGATGGGATGTTGCTTGTGGCTGGTAACGGGGAAGCTGCCAGCCTAACAATGTCTAGTGCCCCTCTTTCCCACTAGAGAGACACGGCCTCCGGCACTTCTATGTACCTAACACTCACTCACTCCAGGCATCCTATAGCAGAGCCAAACACTAAGCATGACTGCCCCTGCTCCCGTTTGAATAAGGAGACTGAGGCACAGAAAGGCTAAGCCACCCGCGTCAGGGCGCCCAGAACTAGGTACCTACTTCTTAGCTTTGTCCATCTCACCATACCTTCGTACTTGTTCCCAGCCTTCAGTTTAGTGGGTGGCCCAGAAGGACTCACCCCCGTTAGTCCCCTGCCTTGTTCTTCCATTCGCCACTCATCACAGAGACCACCACGACACAAACATGACCAGGACAAGGCAGCCACCGGGGGCTGAGGGGACAATGACGAAGTAGAGTGCTAGCTAGAAGTGTAGCTCAGCGCTCCAAAGCTTGCCTGACACATTCAAGGCGCTGGGTTCGATCCCCAGCACACACACATGTACACACACACACACACACACACACACACACACGGGGTGAAACTCCCCCACCCTCACAACTGAATTTCGGCTCCAGTTCTCTGAGCAGGGCAAACAGGTGTCCTTTCCTTTCCATCAAAGGGCCATTTATCTACAAGACCCTCACATTCAGGGCCGAGGGAGAGAACAAACACAGGACCTAAGTCAGTCCCACAGTGTCTCAAGGACAAACCCAGCAGCCACCTTCTGAGTCACGCCCTGACTTGCCCAAGCTTGTGCAAACGTGTCCAAAAATTATCAGACTAAACTTCAACCAATTAACAGCATACTAACGTAACTGCTGCTTGCTTAACCAACTATGTATGAGATGACCTCACTGTCCCTGCACCTCCCCTTAGCTGTGCTTAAAAGGAGCCTGCACGCGCCTCTCAGGGTCGTCACCATTTTGTACAGGTGAATGACCCCCGCATTAAAAAAACGCTCTTTGCTTTAACATATTATTTGAGTCTGGGGTCTCCTTCAGGGTTTCCTTGAACCCTTACAAACACACAGAGACACACAGACACACACAGACACACACACACACACAAAAAAAAAAAAAAAACAGGACACTAGTACTTGTTTCTTCCCTTCCAGAACACCAACAAGCCGACTTAGCAGGGGTTCTTGCCAAAGCCTGGGAACCCTTGGAGACCTCCTTAGCTAGAAGTCCCAGCAAGGGCTGCTCTGTCATCCTGGATGGGAAGGAGGTCAGTTTCCCTGCAGGCAGGGCCCCAGGGTCCAGGCTCCTAGGGCGGGTAGAGGCCCAGCACCACACCTAAGGCTCACTCCATCCTGGAGCTGATCCAGGCCCAGTGAGTCTCCCAGGAAGCCCCAGGCCCGTGGCCTCTGTTGACCTTGCACCCTTTGTCAAAGAAGCTCCAAATGACTTCCTGAGTCAGTTCAGGGCACATCCCAGCAAGTAGTGAGAATTGGAGACTCTGGACAGGCAGTTTGGCTTCAGATCTCAGTCGCCACTCCCCAGCCTCAGGGCGTGTATGAGTAGCTTCAGCTCACTAAACCTCTTTTTTTTTTAAAAAGATTTATTTATTTATTATGTATACAGCATGTATGACCAGAAGAGGGAGCCAGATCTCATTAGGTGGTTGTGAGCCACCATGTGGTTGCTGGGAATTGAACTCAGGACCTCTGGAAGAACAGTCAGTGCTCTTAACCTCTGAGCCATCTCTCCAGCCCTCTTTTTTGTTTTGTTTTTTTCTTTTTTTTTTTCCGAGACAGGGTTTCTCTGTGTAGCTTTGCACCTTTCCTGGAACTCACTCTGTAGCCCAGGCTGGCCTCGAACTCAGAGAGATCCGCCTGGCTCTGCCTCCCGAGTGCTGGGATTAAAGGCGTGCACCACCACTGCCCGGCTCACTAAACCTCTTAATGGGCAGCTACCAGTCACTCAGCCATAGTGGGTGGAAAATGAAGGGAGGTGATGCACCAAGAGGTGAGGATACAGCTGCTAACTGATGCCGGGTGTGTTGGTTCGCGCTGCTGCCAAGCCGGGTGGTCCTCCAGGCTCCACCACAGCCCACCTTGCCAGTCTACTCTCACCCACTCAGAGATAGCTCAAAACCAGGAAGAGCAGAAGCCCTCACAGCCATCAGAGAGAAGAGTCACTGTCCTGAACCTCAGAGGACAGGTGACACACCCCAGGGTGACAGCCCAGCGCTTCGCTCTCCCTGGGCTGAGGGAGAGCTGCAGCCTTCAGTCTTCACCTGCAAAAGTCCTCACCTCAAAAGGCTGTCCCTCAGCTCAGATCCTCTAGCCTTCTCCTGTCACCACCGCACTATTCCCTTCCCTTCAGAGGCAGGGCACCCTCTGAACTCCAAGGAACCTCCTCTCCAGAGACTCAGCGTGAAGAGACAGGCAAGTAAGGATGCCTCAGAAACGTACTCAACTCAGCATCCACATCTACCCACTCCCCGGGCCTCTGCCCGTCCCCGTGTCTTTTAGCTACCCCATTTGGCGGTCCGGGGAAGGACGTGTGGATTGAAGAGTCCACCAGCCACATTGTCAGACACAAAGATGACGACGTTGCCCTTGGTGTCCCCATAGCAGAACACACCTTTGCGATAGTCGGACCTGGGGAAAGATGAAGACAGAGCGGGCTACGTGTCAGACTGGGATTGAAGGAGGTGATGGAAAAATAAAGAGGAGACTGACCTCTACAGAAGGGGCTGCCTTTAATCAGCACAACAAAAGGTGGCCTCTCCGCCATGAGAGAGGGGGCTACACGCCAGAGCATCAACAACTCGGGGTCTTATAGGCCAAAAAAGGGAACTTCGGGGTAGGAAGATTTTTGTCTACAGACCTATTTTCTGCTTTCCCAAGCTCATAAAGGAGTCCTTATCACACTGGCATCCTTGCCAGGAGTCCTCCTGGGAGGTCCTAATGACATGTTGACCCCTTGCCACTGGCCTCCCTCCTTCTAACTGCCCGCTGCTATTATCGGTGTGCCAAATCTTCCTGCGTGGGGTTGCTTGAGGCTGTTAGGTTATTAACCCTTCACTGTGGAGCCTTCTGCCCTACTGCCCCGAGGCCCTGCCCACCTTACGGACAAGGACAGTTCCAACAGACTTCCAGCCTTGCTCTGGGCCTCTGGCCAGCTGCCCAGCATATCCCTGTCATCACTGAACCAAACTTCAGGTTCTGTTTCAACCACTCTCTCTCCCCAGAGACCTCAGGGCAGCAGGGCAAGCCTCTGCTAGCACTTGGTGGCTGATGGGGTAAGAAAGGAGGGAGGGAGGGAGGGAGGGAGAGAGGGAGGGAGGACGACTCTAAGAGTGGGGTGACTGTGCAAGACCCAGGAGAGAAGCAGCGAGGGGCAATGTGGCAATGAACTCAGAACCAGCTCTCCGAGGTGCCTCTCTGGGGTCCCATCCCCCTCCCCAGGGAGGCAGTAGCTGCCAAGACCCTGTCCCATCACCTGTGAGACTTACCAATAGTCCATGGCCATGACACAGCTATCCAGGTCAACAAAGGTGAAGGCCCGGACACATTTGTGGTTACTGACATCAAAGAACTCTGGGAGAGGGAGAAGAGGGGGACATGCAGGGCCGAGAGCCATAGCTCAGGCTTCGGAGGTATCTGGTGGCAGCAATCAGCCTCCCAGCACTCCCTGCCACCTCTCTGGTCCTGGAGCCCACCTGGACCCAAAACAGCAACCAAGAGCAGCAGATCCAAGCACAGTCACTCACAAGGCTTAGATCCAGCTGCAGACTACCCTGTGACCCCCACTGCAGCCAGAGCAAAAGCCAAGTGCAGACCTCAGCCTATGAAGTCTTGTAGGATCAGAACCTCCACAGCCCAATGTATCTTCTATCCCTGGAAGAACACCTCTCCCCCTGTCTGGCCTGTGGCCCCTGACCAGCCACTAGGCTCTAAGCATGCCAGCTTTTTGCCTCTGTAGATGCATCAACCTCAGATACTTCTGGGACCTGCCACTCCCTGCTTTGCCCACCTTGAATAGCCCCAGAACCCTTCCAGATGAGCTGTGTGACCCCTTCTTAGAAAGGCTTCCTTCTCTTCAGCTAGGCCCACCAGCACTCTCCCACCTGGATGGCTGCCTGCCAGTCTCCCTCACCACCTTTATCTTTGCCTCAAATTCACTTCTGTTTTGTTTGACTGCAGGAACTGCCTGGCCTGGCCTGGCCTGAGAGCTGTGTGAGGGCAGAGAGATATTCTACATGGCACTTGTGGGGTTCGCAGCACCTAATAGAGCACCCAGGGCTCTACTTTGCTGAGTGACTATGGCTGTGATGCACAAATGAAGGGACACGTCCCGAACCCTGGGTAATATGGGTAGCAGGAAACTTCTGGCCTCTGTGGCTTCCGATAGTCCATCCATGTGTGTGTCCCTGTAGGTGTTGAGAGCAGACAGAAACAGAGAGATCTGCTCTCCACCACTCACCACCCCTCATCAGGGCTAGAGCTGGGAAGCCCAAGCAAATCAGAGACCAAGTGAGCTCACAACATGCAGGTGCATATGAAAAACAGATTGTAGGGTGGCTTTGTGCAGGTTCACCCGTTCCTCACTGTCTGGAACCAGCCTGCCAGAAACATTATTTTCATCCTGCCCAAAAGCCTTCCATGGAGCTCTGACACCAGCTGACACTGACTAAAACCCTGCCCCCTAGGAATCCTGGCTCCTTCTGGCAGCCCTGGCCTCAAATCAGTCAGTCTAACGAGGCTAAGGACAGGCCCTCAAGTGTCTGCTTCTACAGGCCCAGTCATCCCAGAGCAGGGCTAGCTGGGCCGAGCCACTTGGTCAAGGTTCATGCTGGTGGCCTTTCACCCCTGCCTCTGGCCTTGACCAAGTGCTCTGAGCAGACCACATCTGTTCAGTCATCAGCGCTTGATAGCATGAGGAGATGGGGCCAGGCTCTCGGGGCTGAGGGTGAAGGGAAAGCCACTAGGAATCATGGGTAGCAGCCAGCTCCTAACTGCTCAAGCCCTTGCTTCTCTGGTAGTGTCACAGTCTGTCCTCTTGATAAGGACAGCACTGGCTAACATATGCCAAGCACCTCACACATCCAGTCACTAACCCACACTCACCCTGGAGATACAGAGCACTGACCCTGTTCTTCCTCTGGGTAGACTAAGGCCCTCAAAGGTTAAGCTGCTGCTCCAAGTCACACCCCTACTGAGTGGCAGGACCAGGGCTGAAACCTGGGCACTGGCTGTTTCAGAACAGCTGCTCTCCGGCCTCCTATTTAGTTCTGCACCATGGGCTGTGGGGACACATTCTCCTTAATGATCTGGGACACATGATCAGTCAGACCCTTTATCCACCCTTCCCAGCGCCACTAAGCCTCTTGGTGGCACCAAGCACTGAGATGTGAGTGAAGCAGATGCAGTCCCCACTGCCCGAGCTCCAGGACAGAGGAGAAGGCAGACACCAACGACTCTCACTGACAAATATATGATCACACTCTGAAGGGCTTGAAAGGAAGAGGGCTATCCTGTGCGGTGCTTTTGAGAGGCGTCTGACTTGGACTAGGTGGTCAAGGAAAGATCTCTGGAGGAAATAACACTGTGATGAATCAAAGGAAAGGTAGATGCTCTGGGGTGGGGAGAGGTGTGGGAGATAAGGTAGAGCATGCAAATTGACCCACAGTGCCCATCAGAGACAACAAGAGAAGGTTCCAGCATCCTTAGCACAACAGGAGGAGGGTCTGATCCAAGGAAATCTGTGGGCAGCAGAGAGAGGCCAGACCTTCCTCACCTCATGGGCCACACTAAGGATCCTCCCCCAATCTGTGCTTTGTGGGGAGAGCAGGTGTGAAGGTTTTCTGCAGGGAGACATTTTAAAAGCCCGTTTGTAACTACTACAGGGACCTTCAGAGGAAATGTGCTAAGCAAAAGGAGGCTTCAGTGTTATCCCAGTGACAGCCGAAGATGGCCTGGGCTAGAGGCAGCAGGACACGAGGGTGGAATCAAGCTGGAGAGACTGGCATGGGCTGTGGTTTACAAGTTGAACTGTTCAATACTCGTAGACATTCAGTATTCACTGAGCACATCTGCCTACAAAGCAGTCACTGACACAATTGACCAACACTGCCTCTTACAGCACACAGCACTCGGCAGGCCCTCATGACCCAACATTCCCAGAGGGCTCCCCTCCATGCTCATGCTTGCTCAGCCATCAGGTCTGTCCCAAGTGCAAATCCACCACTCACTAGAAGGCCTGGAGAGTCCCAGGGACTCACCTATCTTCTGCTCAGTCGAGGCAACCGCGATGAGGTTCATGTTGTGCAGACATACCATGTCGACAACCCACATCTGCTGGTGGCAGGTCGGCTGGGGCTGGGCAAGCTGGCAGAAGAAGAACAGAGACTCAGGTCACAGAAGGTTGCTACCAGAGTACAGAGGCACAGGGACATTTTCTGCCACACAAGGCCCCGGAGCAAACACAGTCCTGGCATGCCTCATGTGAGCACTAAAAACAGAGCCTTGGCTAAACTCCTCCAGGTATGCCCTCATCTGTAATATGGGCCTAACAGTCACCCATCTTCATGATCCCAGTGACTTAAGGCCAGGCCCACCTCCAAAACTTCCCACTTGCATAACAGTGAGCCCCCAGTGGGTCTTGGCCAATGATCCTGAGAGGCTCACAATCTAACCCAAATCAGCTCCTTAAGAAAGAATCTCCAGAACTCTCAAGATTTCCCAGGAAGGCTTTCTCTGTCTCTTCAGCCTCCTGAGCTCTGGCTCCTGAGGGGCCATATAGGTGACCATATAGCAGTCAGGTCACTCATGGCTTCTCATCATACTTGAAGAGATCGGGCTACCAATACCTACTTCCACACACATGTGGAGAAAGGGAAGGCAGAGTATACCAGAAACCACAGGAATGCAGATGTGGACACACACACACACACACACACACACACACACACACACACAGGCCCCCAGAAGAGTCAGGAAACCTTTAGGTACCCTAGCCCCATCTAGGTCTCTCCTCCCACAAGGGCTGACCCCTGCTGCAAGTGTAAAGCACTGTGTGTGAAACGCAGGTGGGAAACCCTTCACACTGTCAACAGTGTTCTCCACAAGCCTTGCTGGGGAGCCCTGGAGGGCAGGCCTTTCCTCGTTTGCTGCAGGATCCTCCACTAGCCTGGCAGCATCAAGTGCACAGCAGACTTACCTGAATGTGTCATTCCTTACTACACTAGGCCATGAGCCAATAGTAGAAAGCCCATGATGATGTTGGCTTATATTCATCTGTACTTGCTGAATGCCTTGACCTGCTCAAGCATGACCCATACCATTAAGTGCCCCCTCAACCCTGAGAGGGGCTACTACTCCAAGCCTACTTGGGCATACAAGGAATCAAAGACATTTCAGGTAGCATCCCACACCTGTTGGGTGGTCTACCTGGGACTCTAATCCTGGTAGTTGGACCCAGAGCCCAAATACCATGATTTTCTGCCTGGACCAGACAAAGGTTTCAATCATCAGGACTTAGGGACAGTGTGGATATGACAGAGCAAGGAGAGAATGCTGAGCACTGGCACAGAGGCTGGAGGATAACGCTCACTGAGATGGGGACTCCAGTGACACACTCCCTGGACAAACTGCTTTGGAGGTGTCTAGTAGACTTCCAAGCAGTGTTCTGCTTAGTAGATGACAAGTGTGAGATTCTATAATTAAATCAGAACCTTGACCCAAGCCCTGTGGCTTCAAGGCCAGGCTGTTCAGATAATAAGTGCCAAGGACAAGACCACTCATGGTGCCACAACAGAGGCTCTCCACCAACCCCATGAGCGTCCCACTCACCCGAAAGGAGTTCATCATTAAGAAAGTCTCGGACCAGAACTGCAGGACCCCGTCTTTGGTGACAGTCAGGAAAAACCCCATCTTTTTGAACCGTTGGGTTAAAAATGCCACTTTCACAACCTCGCTCCCATGGTGCCTACAAACGGTAAGAAGCAAGCATACAACTCTGAAAGAAAGTATCTGCATGAACCACAAGCCAAAGAAGAGGCAGGACAGAGGGTCAGTGGGGACAGCTACATAAGTGTGCATGTGTGCACACATACACACACCAAGAAGCTGTAGGTAGTTCCAGGGAACATGGGACTCTGCCCCTTCTCCAAGTGGGCTTCAACTGAACCAACAAAGGCCACAAGACAATGAACCCCAATGGAGGATAGGGTGTGTGATTCAGTGGTAGAGTGTTTGCCTAGTATACGTGAGGCCCTGGGTTCCATCCAGAAAAATAACCAACTATAAAACAGTATGCGATGGAGTCCAAAGCTGATCTCTGGAAATAGCCAGGCAGGTCCCTCAGTTTGTAGTGGGAGAGCAGAAATAGAGAGTGAATATCTTCAGAGCTTTTTTCATAGGAAAAAAATGGCCCACAGACGGTGAGCAGGGTATAGCTTGTGACAGAAACCTGAGAAATGACACTTTTTAACCATTGCTCTCAATGGTTAAAGGAGAAGGAAGAGGAAAGTAGAACAAGAAAAAAGTCGATCAAGGGGTATCAAGGAGTTGGGCCCGGTGCACCCGACTCCTCAGGGCCAGGACACCGAGCACAGCAGACAGTTCCTGGGCAGGCCTGGCCCTGCAGGCTCCAACCCCACAGCCTTCCCAGCAAGCCTCCATGCTCCCTGCCAGTGGCTGCTTTCCTGCTCCAGTGTCAACCAAGCCAGCTCTCTGGCTGTTAAGGCTCACACTCCCCCATGTCATCTACCCATCTTGGATCGTGGTAGGTTGAGACAGATTACACACTTACAGGGAGCTGCATCCCACCCAGTCCCAGAAGAGATAGAACTTAAAGTCGAATGCTTTCATCCCTCCTCCAGAGCCTTTCCCAAAGCTTGAAAGCAGGTATGAGCTGACCTGAGGCTTAGGGGGAATCCACATGCAGTTCCACAGAGGAGCTGGGCACATGTGTCTAGCTTGCTGTAGGTCTCCCTGCCTCCTGCCATCAGCTTACTTCTCAGTACTGAAGGTGACCAATATTCCCAGCTGTCTCTCTCTCCATCACTTCAACTCTGACCTTTCTATCGGGACCAAAGACTGTCGGGAATAGAGACATGAGGCCTGAAGCTAACACAGCCCTGGGAATAGCATCTTGGGGAGGTCCATTTCCTCATCAATATAGTGACTGCACCTCTCCCTTTCTGGAAAGTGAAGGGATCAAAGAGGGTGGTGCGTTGGGTGTGTGCTCAGCCCAGACTCAGTAATGGTGAGCCGACTTTTAAGAGTCACCCTCTCATAAAATTAACTAAACATTGCTTGGCTATTCTGGTTACTTTCTCCATCAGATTGGAGATTCCTCTGGGATTGTAAGTTGTGGAAATAAATTAGAGCAAATAAGGGAAAAACTTCCTGAGAATTTTGTGTCCCAGATTTTAAACATTCTTGAGATCTGAAGAAACAGAAAGACCAAGCCAAGTGTTCATGACAAAATTACAGCTATAAAATCTCTCATTATTCATATTTAATTGGCTACTCCTCAATTAACTCACAACCATATTTTTTTTTACAAGCTACTCTTCTATGATCTCCATTAAACTGCCCTCTCAACTAAAGCTCCAGGCTGCCTGAGGCAAAGACAACCTCTAGATCTTGCTCTTCCACAGCCTGCCTGGGTGTGGCTCTCTGAGGACAGGCCCACCTACAGCCTACTCTCACCAGATCACAAATGGGGCTCACCAAACTGTGCTCCACAGGAGCTAGCACCCTGTCCACACAACCCTGGCTGCTGGTGCTCCAACCCAGGGTGGCTCCAGGAAAGGAAAAAGGGTCCAAAGGCAGCCCAACTCAAGAGCCCTGGTGGCAGAGGGGCCATGCACTAAGCCAGTGGTTCCCAACCTGTGGGTTGCGGCTCCTCTAGGGGTCAAATGATCCTTTCAGAGGGGTCACATATCAGATATCCTGCGTATCAGATATTTATATTATGATTCATAACAGTGGCAAAATTACAGTTATGAAGTAACAACAAAAATAATTTTATGCAGGCAGTGGTGGCGCACACCTTAATCCCAGCACTCGGGAGTTCGAGGCCAGCCTGGGCTACAAAGTGAGATCCAGGAAAGGCGCAAAGCTACACAGAGAAACCCTGTCTCGAATAACCAAAATAAATAAATAAATAAATTATGGTTGGGGGGCACCCCAACATGAGGAATTATATTAAAGGGTCACAATATTAGGAAGGTTGAGAACCACTGCAAGCCAAGAAACTACCCCTTGTCCTTAGGGTGCTAGAGGGAGAAACACCGATAGGAGAGACAGGGCCACAGCATGGAAAGGAAGAGGTTGATGAAATTTGAGACACGCCATTCCAAAGCATGGAATATTGAATATTTTCAGCTGAAGGTATTGGAGAAGCAGTTTGTTTCCTTCATAAGATCCCAGATGGAAGCAATCTTATCATTTTTTTCCCCTGAAACAGGGTGTCCTGTATACTAGGCTGATCTCCAACTCATCATGTAGCTGAAGGGGACCCTGAACTTAGGCTCCTCCTGCCTCTACCACCTGAGTCCTGGGATTACAGGTATGCCCCACCACTCACAGCTACAACCTTACTTCTGAAAAGCCACGAACACAGAGAGGAATGGGGATAGACAGGCTGGCTAAGTCTCCTCTGGTTATTACACAGACCTGAGGCACTGGGGATTTAGATCAGTTGAAGGAGTGCTCAGCTAGTATGCATGAAGCCCTGGATTTCCTCCCCAGCACTACATGAAACTGGATGCATACCTATAATCCAAGCCCTCAGGAAGCAGAGGTAGGGGGATCAAAAGTTTGAGCTACATGTCGAGTTGGAGGCCAGACTGGGATACATGAGGACCATCTCAAATATCAAATAAGCAATTTCCCCCTAACTTCCCACTCTTCCTCAAACACTTGGTACTTATAGCTTCTAGCACTTTCGCTTCCCTAGGAAGGTTCCCATGAACATGTAAAACGTGTATTAAATAAGTCTGTGTGATCTTCTCTTGTGGGTCATCTGCTACAGAATCCCTCCAAGGCCAACCTCCAGGGAACACCATGTGGGAGGGGCCACAAGCCGAGTGAGCAGCAGGTCGGGCAGAGCCAAGCCAGGGCCACTAAGTTCTAACCACCACCCTCTCCTGAGGGTCAAGCAAGGCCTTGCAAGGCCTCCACAGCTTGGCCAGCTTCCTGTCTGTCACCTCACAGGAGAATCCCAGCTGCACATAGCTAAGCCATCTGTGCCTCTGAGGGTGAAACTGCCAGACCCGCTCAGCACTAGCCGTACAGAGAAACAAGAGACTGCAGTGTGCAGGAAAAGTGGGGAACAGAACGTAGAACAGCCCCATCACTTTCTGGCTGTCAGCCTGGGCAAGCCATCAGGCTGGCCTCTCGGAGCCTTGGCTTCCTCGTCTGTGAAAAGGGGACAAGCCACCTACCTTTGTCATCATGACCACCTCCAGACTGTGAAGGACAAGCTGAAAGGAGAAGAGGCCACCCAGCACCTTGGTTGGGCCAGCAGAGTGACTGACTCATGGACTGAGGAGGGGGCTCCCTGCAGGATTGGTGCCAGAACTTTTCCATCATACCCCAGCTGCAGGGAAGAGGCTCTTACAGGGAGATGACGGTCATGGGGAGGTGGAAGCGCAGGCGGTACTGGCTCTTCCTCATCTCCTCCTTGCCCTGGAACTCGCGCATCATATAATCCACATACTTTTGCTGTCTCAGAAAGACAAAGCAAGGGAAAGAAGGCATTGGCAGTGGTCTTAATGTTTGCCTTTAGGGACCCAAGCCTGGCATACAGTATCTTCCCTCGTCTCTCTACAGCCCCCTCCAAGTGGCTCTGAAGGCTGTCTGCTGTGGGATGGTCTGTATGTCAAATGTGTTGCTGATTGGTCAATAAATAAATCACTGATTGGCCCGTGGCCAGGCAGGAAGTATAGGCGGGACAAGGAGGAGAATAGAGCTGGGAAGTGGAAGGCTGAGTCAGAGAGACACTGCCAGCCGCCATGATGACAAGCCGCATGTGAAGTACCGGTAAGCCACAAGCCACGTGGCAAGGTATAGATTAGTAGAAATGGATTAATTTAAGCTGTAAGAACAGTTAGCAAGAAGCCTGCCACGGCCATACAGTTTGAAACCAATATAAGTCTCTGTGTTTACTTGGTCAGGTCTGAGCGGTTGTAGGACTGGCGGGTGGCAGAGATTTATCCTGACTGTGGGCCAGGCAGGAAAACTCTAGCTACAGCTGTCCTTTGAGAATTCACCAGCAAAGTAGCCAAGCAACAGGGCTGAGCTTGAATCTCAAATGTGACGGGCATGGTGCCTAACACTGAGCACCCCTCGGCACAGTCACACCACCTGGCTGCCCATGGAAAGCTTTTGGTCACCTCTGCTTCACACAGAGGATAATCCAATTGAGGTACTATGTCTAATTTGTCCAAGTCCATGACCAAGTTAACAGTAGGAAGGGTCCACAGCTGTATGGGTACACCTACCCTACAAATATCTGCAACTCTGGGTTCCAGTGACCGGCCTCACTAAAACATGGCCCAGATCCAAACATATGAAGCTATAATAAGAAATAGGAACCAGAGATGGTGACACCTCTTAGTCCCAGCTACTCAGAAGGCTGACACAGAAGGATCACCTGAGCCCAAGAGTTCAAAACCAATGTGAACAACAGAGAACCCATCTCAATGAGAAAGGGAGGGAGGAAAGAAGGGATAGAGGAAGGGGAAAGGAGGATGAACTCAGTGGTAGAATGCTTGCCTAGCATGCACAAGGCCCTGAGTTCAACCCTTAGCACCACACAAAAGAAGAGGTGGCAAGAATCATCATGTAGATAGACAGAGAATGCTGGGAACATTATCCCCAAACCATGAGGAGGGGTTCATAGGCAGTTACCCCGCAGACCTTTGAGGTACACTCCTCAGGTCTGAACATGGGCTCTGCTGGTAGCCAGCTCTGGGACACTGAAACCCAGTTTCTAATGGCTCTGAGCCTCAAGTTTCCTAGCGTCTACCCTTCTGTATCCTGTGAGATTTCAACAGAGGACTGCACCAAGTGCTGAGCATGGTGCCTCATCGTCATCTCCGGCAAGGCTCTGCACATCTCTGTAGGCTTAATGCCATGTGTACTGTCCACTGTTGCATCTTTAAAGTCAACGTCATTACTACACTACGAAGACCTGACAGTTTCGGATCCAACAGCCATGGGCTTGCCTGTCCCTGAGTGACAAAAAAGAGCCATAATACCAGCATGGTACGGATGAAGATCCCCTACGTTGGGAGGGAATGACTCTGAAGTACAGGCAAGCTAGCTGTACCTCAGGTGTGAATGCATGATGAGAAGGTCTCAATATGGGAGCCAATGAGCCCACCTCACAGAAGTCTCAAGGGAGACGCCTCAGAGGCACCAAACTTTCCCCCGCCTAGCAAGTGCCCCAACTGGTACCCGAGTCCATTTGGACTTTCTGATACTCGCTGCTTCCCATCATCAAGCCTCTGCTTGCTCCACTGAGGGGTCCAGCTTCTAGCCTATCCTAGCTTCCTGTGGCAGCAGGGCACCTTCCTTACCCAGGAGACATAGCCATTGCAGTCTGAGTCCACCTTCAAGAACAGAACCTCCAGCATCTCCTCCGACATGTTTATCATCTTCTTCATGATCCCGATGAAAGCCTTCTTGTTCACGGCTTCAAGGGAAAAACAGCTGTGCTTAGTCAAAAGTCGCTTGGCCCACACAGGCCGCAGGCCGCAGGCACTGCTCCAGACACTCTCTCTGCTACCTGCCTGTAATTGTCAGTTGGACCCCTTCAAGGGAGGCAGATGGGAGAACTCCAGCCAGAGGTGTGGTGCCTTAGAAGGCATTCCCCTCCTCTTCCCCTCACAACAGTCATGAGCTTGGCCCGGTTTACCCTTCCCTCAAGGCCCCAGCATCCACCTTAGCATGGGCTGGCTGATTCCTAATGCTTCTGCAATCACCCAATTATCTCACCGGCCCACACTCAGTCATTCCTCGTGAACACCTGCCACACAGCAGGAGGGAGGGTGGCCTGAGGTTCTCCAAAACCAGGTCCCACTTCTGATTAAGGAATACAGACTATAGCAACAACTCTCCACAGACCAAAGGCAGTAACCTCTGGTGCAGGTGATAAGCAACAACCTCTGCCGGGGAGAGAGGTATAAACAGCCACACTGGGAGAGAGATACAGAGCAGTTCTGTGCTGTGGGTCCCAACCTAGGGCCTCACACACGTCGGCAAGTGCTCTACCACTGAGCTGTTCCACAGTACATTCAATACATCTTTTTTTTTTTTCAATACATCTTTTAAAAGCAATTTATAAAAACAAAAACTTTTAGTCAGCTATGGTGGTGTATGCCTGTAATTCCAGCATGGGGCGGGGTAGCCTGGGCTACACAGCAAGTTCAAGGCCAGCCTGGGCTACATGAGATCCTGTTTCAGAAAGACATAATAATAACAACACACTCTGCCTAGAGGGGTAGATGGTGAAGAAAGGAGGAAGGCTAGACAAGCATGAAATACTTTCTCCCTGAGCTGGGTTCAAGTTTGCAAAGGTGTCAATTGGCCCTAATTTTTTTAATGTAATTATTGCCTTCAAAAATCACTTCTAAAATCCCTTCAAATACTGGAACCCTTGTCAAGGCTTGAAGGCCACACAGTATCTGGCTCCATTCAACAAGAATATCTTCCAGCACGTCCTCCAGACTCTGCTCCAGCCATAAGCACCTCTCTATGCCCACCACAGGGCCTTTCACAGCCTGGATGGCCCTCCCTGCATTTCAGGCCATTCTTTCTGCAAGGATGCCTTTCTTCCTAAGGACCATCTGAGGAGGCTGCCATCCCCACTGCCTGGCATTCTTAGCTGTCTGACACATGCACTGTCTCCCACTCTGCCATGACCTCTAGAAGTACCCAAGAGCCCTCTGTCACGTGGTTCTGGGCACTCCACAAACACTAGTGCCTGAGTGTTTCTGTGACACTGAGAAGTGACCAGTAGGTTGGTAGTGACAGACAGGAACCTCAGCATCTGGCCCCAGAGCTCATGGTCTTCACACCACCCTGCCCTATTCATAAGCAACAGCCCAGTGCTGCTGCAGCCATTGTCCCTGTCATTGGACTGACCGTCAAACAAAAGCCTAAGCAATGTGTGCTTGCTTGAAGAGATGCCCATCTTAAGTATGCAAAGCTGGGGCCAAGTGCTTACATATTGCAAGTAGTGCCCCATGGTCTGTCTGGGCTAGGATGGTGACAATGGCAGTTTATGAGCACTGCAGGGAAACAGGTAAAGCAGAACTGCCTCTGCACTTGCAAATCCTCAGGAGAAAGAAGGGGGGTCTCTTCAGAGCCATGGGCCTCCCACACTGCAAGAACTCCCTGGCTTGGAGGACACGTGGTAAACAGAAAGTACTGATGTGACCTTGCTCATCCCGCCACCAGGGCTGGCATCCAGGTGCCTAGGAAATGGCACGCCATCCATGTTCTCAAGAGCCTTGCTGAAGGTGTCCAAAGAGAAAAACCAGCCTGATTTCCTAACCTTCCATCAATGTGGAGGGAATTTTCCTTCCCCCAAACTAACAGCATGGCCAGATGTTTAAAAATAAAAAAGCTCAGGCTGGGAAGTCAGTTCAGGGGTGAAGCACTTGCAAGTATGAGTATATGAGTTCAATCCCAGGAGTCTACATGCAAAGCCAGACACGGCAGCATATGTCTGTAACCCCAGTCCTGGGTGGGGCAAAGACTGCTGGATCCTGGGGGCTGGCTGTCCACCAGCTGTGCCAAAACAACAAGCCTCAGATCTGGTGGAGAGACTGTGTCTCAAATAAGGTGAAAAGCAATAGAAGAAGATATTCTAATGTCAACTTCCAGCCTCCATATGTGCTCGATCGATCTATCTATCTATCTATCTATCTATCTATCTATCTATCTATCTCTCCAAACAGCATATGTGGCTGTGAAACTCAAATGAACAGGAAAGTAAGTGGGCCCAGCACTAGTATCCACAGTCAGCTCTGAAGATGCCTTTACTCCTATTTGACTTTCAGGAGTATCATTCCAAAGGGCAGAAATCAGGTTGCCAGAAGGAGAAAGGTCTGGTATGCAGAGGGTATCCCCCAAGACACCCTTTATAGCCCACGGAATGTAAATAAGCCAATCAGAGAGATGGCTCCAGTCACAGAACACTTGGATCCATTAGTAAGCCTTGCCTAGGAGGCTCCAGGGCACCATACCACGTCCCTCAGATATTAAAATAATGTGAAGAAGGGTCTATAATAACACACACAATCCCCAGCTTAGGGCTCTTCCACTTTACAGTGGTGTAAATGCAAACCCATTTAATTGCTATTTCATGCTTTCATGAGATATCTCACACTTTATTTAAAAATGTGCATTGCCGAGCAGTGGTGGCACACGCCTTTAATCCCAGCGCTCGGGAGGCAGAGCCAGGCGGATCTCTGTGAGTTCGAGGCCAGCCTGGTCTACAGAGTAAGTTCCAGGAAAGGTGCAAAGCTACACAGAGAAACCCTGTCTTGAAAAAAAAAATGTGCATTGTGTTAGCTGATTTTACCCAACCTGAGGCTAAGTATGTGTTCTGAATACATCTAGGATCTAGGATCTAGGTAAGGAAGGCTAAACTAGTGTTTGGTCGGTCAGGTGTGAAATGCTTCCTCAGCTCAGAATATTTTCTACTTCACATTAGTATCTGAAGAGTAAGATTAGAGATAGTTACAGAGGCCCCCAGGATGGGTGGGCCTTGTGTTCACACCCTCCTGAGGCCCTTCACATGCTTTTAGATTGTGACACCTGTGAGTGTTGCTCTACCTTCGGCTGAAGCCTTGCCAGCTACCATGTTGGAGAATCTCACATGGCCGGGCACTGTGGGGTAGTTTCTGGGAGCTAAAGGCAACCTCCTTGCAACAGTCAGAAAGAAATGAAAGGCCGCCATACCACAGCTGCAAGGATCTGAGTTCTGGAACAACATATATGAGCTTAGATGTAAGTACTTCCCAAGTCCAACCCCAGATGAGACACCATTGTAGTTAATTTTTTTCTTTACTCTTTTGGGGGGCCCACCACCCAGCTCCCAAATAAGTTATACCCGGAGTCTTATTATTAGTTATAAATGCCCTGCCTTAGCTTGGCTTATTTCTTGCCAGCTTTTCTTAACTTAAAATTATCCCATCTACCTTTTGCCTCTGGGCTTTTTCCTTTTCTTATTTCTGTAATCTTACTTTCACTCTTACTCCGTGGCTGGCTGTGTAGCTGGGTGGCTGGCCCCTGATGTCCTCCTCCTTCTCTGGCTACTTCTTCCTTCCTCTCAAATTTCTTCCTCTATTTATTCTCTCTGTCTGCCAGCCCTGCCTATCCTTTCTCCTGCCTTGCTACTAGCCATTCAGTTCTTTATTAGACCATGAGTTATTTTAGTAACACAGCTTCACAGAGTTAAACAAATGCAACATAAATAAAAGTAACACACCTTAAAATAACATTCTACAACACACCACAGCCCAGTTGACTACAGAACTGCAGCTTTTTGGGGTCCTGAGCAGGAAGGCAGCTCAGCCCTGTCCTTGCTCCAGACCCATGGAAACTATGAGATCATGAGCACAAGTTGGGTTAAGCCACTAAGACCATGGGGCTGCTGTCATATAGCAACTGATAGCAAACCACAGACTGAAATGCTTAGAGGGAAACACCAAAATGCAGCAGCATAGACTTGGGTATCTGGGCTAGCGGGATTTTAAAAACCTCTTAGATCCCAAAGAGCCTTCAATAGCCTTGCACTACTTAGCCAGAGCTATACTGGACACCAGACATAAAAATGCTGACCAGGTCTGAGCCCTCTACACACCCCAGATACCAGGTCCTGGGCAGGAGTCACAGTATGGCTGTACCTCCAGTCTCATCTGTCTCCTTCTCAAACAACTTCTGGAGTCTGGCCAGGTGCACCTCAGTAAACTGCTGAGTCCTTTGATGGAGGTCGCTGTTCTGGCTAAGAGTGCTTGTCAGTGCCACGTAGTCAGAAGTCTCCTTGTCCTGGAAACCATCTGCAAGAGGTATCTGAGACAAATATGACCACAAGAACTAGGCACTAAGACAGTTCTCTGAGACAAATGTTTGTTGGCACCTCTTATTGACAAGGTGAATCTCTGTGAATGTTGCTCATTGATGAAAGCAGTAAGGCTTCCTTACTCTTTCTTTCTTTTTTTTTTCTTTTTCTTTTTTTTTTGAGACAGGGTTTCTCCGATCTCGCCCTTCGAACTCACAGACATCCACCTGCTTCTGCCTCCTGAGTACTGGGATTAAAGGCATGTGCCACCGACGCCCAGCTCCTTACTCTTTCTTACATATTTTAATCCTATGAAGGCAAAGAAAAGTCTAGAGTCTTTCTTGTGATGATGAAGAAGTAAACATTGTTCTCCTACATATGTCATGTTTGCGTTAGCAAGGTTAGAGGACACGGGCTCCTTTTTTTTGTATTTGTTTTTGTTTCTTTTTTAACTTTTTGTTTGTTTTGTTTGAGACAGGGTCTCAGCACGTAGCTCGCTTTGACATCCCCCCAAGTGCTAGGACTACAGGAGTATGCCACGCCCCCACCCCCACCCCCAGCTTAGAACTCTAATGGACGTCAGTCCCACCAAAGGGACAAACACGCTTGGACTCCTACGAACGTCCACAAATTCCCTCACCACCTCCACACGCTTACTGAGCACAGGCACAGGGAACAAAGCCGAGACTCCTGCCTCCACAAGCCAAACGGATGACCCTCTTTCCATGCGCCCAAGGCCCTCGGGGACGCCGTACTGCCTACGCCCCTCCCTCTCCTCTTGTGCCTTCCTACTCCTCCTCCTCTCGTTCATTTTTCTCGACATCTGTCCCCCAGTCCCTGTCCCTCCCCAAACCCTGGCTGCCTTTAATGGCAGGCACAAGCACGGTGACCTCCTCCCCAAGACCAGGGTCTGACCTTCCTTTCCAGTCCGTCTCTCAACCCTGATACCAGTCATCTTCCTAGGAGGCAAATATGGTCATGACTTTACCCAGCTCTGACCTACTCCATGGCTGCTGCCTCCACTTGCCATTCCTAAAGCATGGCATTCAGAGCCCTTCACAATCCAGCTTTAACAAGTTTCCTCCTTTGGAGGCACACACCACGTCCCCGGCACACCAACTGCACCCCACCAGTCCAACAAAGCATGTATTCCACTTCTCAGCTTGTGTGCAATGTACAGCACTGCCCACCTACCCCACAGCTTAACCCCCCTCTAAGAGCATTTTCTCCAAGGAGCTTTTTCTTAACATTCAGTGGGAGCCACCACTGCCACCCCTAACATTCCCCCAGCTCTGATCATCTCTACCACTCTGGTGTGTCTCCATCTATACATGTAGACAGCAGGCATGAAAGGAAGCATGTGGCTGCAGAGTCCTAAGATCTGGGTTACAATTACATCTGGCTCTCCCACTTACAAGCTATTTTATCTTGGGCATTTCTCATCATCTCTCTGAGCCACTGATGTCTTCACCTGAGAAATAGAAACCCACAGCACCCAGCCTGCAGGGTCCTGAAGACCTAAATGACACATGAAGCCACATGAAGCCCTAGGAAAATGGCTTTACAATAAATGATGGTTCCTGTCACATATCTCGGAAGGAGATTTAAGAAGATGAGGGCGCCGGGCAGTGGTGGCACACACCTTTAATCCCAGCACTCAGGAGGCAGAGGCAAGTGGATCTCTGTGAGTTCGAGGCCAGCCTGGTCTACAGAGTGAGTTCCAGGAAAGGCCCAAAGCTACACAGAGAAACCCTGTCTCGAAAAACCAAAAGAAGAAGAGAAGAAGAAGAAGAAGAAGAAGAAGAAGAAGAAGAAGAAGAAGAAGAAGAAGAAGAAGAAGAAGAAGGTGTATTTAGCTAACTTAATCGTAATTATCTCTATATTTCCTGGTCCCAGCACTAAACAGATAATGTGATATATATATCTGGCTTGATGATAACTAACACAATCCACCCCACCATTATTGCCACTTTGCTAGACAAAAATTAAGTATAGGCCATGAACAGACTGTAAATTGATACCCTCATGTGTGTGGCATTTGGCCCATGCTGTGCTCGCAAAGAAGAAGCCAAGCTATATGTGTGGACTATGAAAGCACACAGCTGCAATCCCAGGCAGCACCCGGAATGCTGGGGCAGGACTGCCACAGACAGGAGGCCAGCCTGGGCTTCATAATGAAACCCTGTCTCAAATAATAATAAGTACATAAAAATTAAAAAAAAAAATAGAGCTAGGCATAGCTGTGTGTACCTTTAATCAATCCCAGCATTCTGAAGGCAGAGGCAGGCAGATCTCTATGAGTTTGAGGCCAGCCTGGTCTACAGAGTGAGTTCCAGGCCAGCCAGAGATACTTAGTGAGACACTATCTCAAAAATAAAACCAAACCAAACCATAGAGCTGGGGATATAGGTCAGTGTTACACTTGCCTAGCTTACTCCAAGTCCTGGGGGGGTGGGGAGGAGAGGAAGGGAGGGAAGAGGAGCCTACTTGTTAGGCTCACATATGTTATAACTTGTCCCTATAACTATCTGAGTTTACAAGCCTGATGCAGAAGCCAGTGGACTCGTATGCTGGCGACATTTTGGAAGCCAGTGGACTCGTATGCTGGTGACATTTTGGAAGCCAGTGGACTTGTATGCTGGTGACATTTTGGAAGCCAGCGGATTTGTATGCTGACAAGTGACACTTTGTGTGGCTCCCAAATCTCCTCTCCCTTTGTTCACTCTGTTGCTTTCTTACCTTTTGATGCTGAGGGTTCTCTCCTAACGTATCAGAAGACTTTAGTGCTGACCTAAAATGGATAATCACAGTTGCTTTAAAACAAGTCTGCAGAACTGACCTAGCCCTAGTTGTGCAAGAAGTGGAAAAGGCCAAAGGAGATGACGGCTGCCCCTTGTTCAAGACACTCCTAGTGTCTTGTAGTAAGTATTCCATGAGCATGCCCTTTCCCCAGCAGACCTTACCTAAGTTTATGGTAGAGGCTTCCTGATTTGTTGGAAAGGAGCTGATCTGCTGAAGCCATGAGGTTTCTCAGGTTACTTTACTCCTAGCTTAAATACAGGATCTGTAGAATTTGAAGGGGCTTAGCCAGCCATGTGCTTGTCCCAAGAACAATTCAACTGAGGAGAAGGAGATGCAGAGGTAGACACACATCTGAAGTCAAAGACATGACCTTCCACTACATACACCCTCCAAAACCTTCCAGTGGGGCCAGGACCTTCTCCAGTGAGATCAGGTGAGAGCACATGGCTCATCACTCTTCCACGTCAAGGGCATGTTTCCAATGAGAGGTCAGTGCTAGGCTAAGATATTGGGGCACCAGACCAGCAGGGTCCCCAGCCCTGAGGAGAGTGGGGGCGGGGGCATCCTCAGAATAGCCAGCTAGGAAAGAAGAGACTGCTGTACCCAGGGGACTGGACCATAGGGTTCATAGGGGGCATCAGGGAGAGAGAGAAAAGTTTGGAAGAAAATAGTGAGGAGAAAAACAAGAGAATGCAAGCTCACGCGTATCTGGCTTAAGAGACTGAATTCCAGGGATGAAGGGCAGCGGGGAAGGTTCTCAGCACAAGAGGGAAGGCAATGGGGAGGAAAACTGAAGACTGGCCAAGAAGGTCCTCTCTCTCTCCAGTGATGTCTTGACAGCCCACAAGGGAGGACCAGGGGCAGAGAAGAGACAAGGGGGAGGGCTAGAAGCCAAGAACCAGGGTAACCAAGGAAAATAGCAGAAGCTTCTCCAGAAAAAGGAGCAGGGCGGGGGGAGGGGGAAGGGTGTATGAACCACTCAGCTAGAAATAAACTCCTATATCTGGAGATTGGGGGACTGATAAGCTTAAAGCATAGATACATTCAGGGGATGGAAAAGAAAAACACAAAAGACAACTAGGATGTGGTACTGGGAGAGAGAAAAAAATACCTGCAAAAGTGTATTTATTTATAAGTACATTTCTGTTAAATGTATGAATGTGTGTGTTGATGCATGCATTAAAAAAAAAAGGCCTAGTAGGGCTGGAGAGATGGCTCAGCAGGTAAAAGCCCTGACTGCTCCTGCAGAGGACCCAAGTTCAATTCCTAGTATCCAACATGGCAACTCACAACTGTCTGCAACTACAATTCTAAAGGATCTAATGCCATCCTCTGACTCCTTGGACACTGCACACACATGGTGCACAGACATGGATGCAGATAAAACACTCATAGACGTAAAATAAAAATAAATTTTTAAAAAATAAAAAAAGCCTAGGAAAATATGCCTTAAGTTTAATGGCAATTATTTGTGGCAGATGAGATAGTGGGGGTGAGGCTCATTCCTCTAACACACACACACACACACACACACACACACACACACAGGGACAGAGAGAGAGGAAATGATTTTTTTCAGGCTAGGACAAACAACTGCCTCCTCCTAACAGAACAAAAGGGAGAAAGTGGCCCCTACACCCTTGGTCATCATCATCTGCCCTCCCTCCCACTGCACGGAGCCCCGCTTCCCCACAAAGTACCTTGGGGAGGCGAATGCTGACAGAACCAGATGGTAGAGAATGAGTATTTGGTACTGGCAGCAGTAGAGTGGCTGGTGTCTAAGCATGAACACTGAAGGAAAAACAACACAAATGTCCAGAAGTAGTTTGTGAGCAAAAGGGGAGGGGGGGAGGACGTCACGAATTTGGGGAGGTGAAGGAGAAGGGGCCAGGCTAGCTCCCACTGGATGAAGGGAAACAGCGCAGCAGAGATAGGAGAGTGCCCCAGCATGCCTTGGGTAGCTGTCCTGGGAAATAGGGTGGTGGGTAATGTCTGTCGGGATCTGTCACTGCACTGGGTTCCAGATCCCCAGTGAAGGCAAGACGGAGGAGCCCCAATCCCTGTCCTACTTCCTGTACCCCCCCCCCCCCCCGGGATTCGCCCAATTTAGTTTAAGGCACTAGGTAAGATGGGGTGGAAGTGCCCGAAAGCTCCATCTGGTGACAGTTTGGCCGGGGACATCCTGGGGTCTAAGCATTATCTGCACTGGCCATGCCTGCTGCTGCTAATTCAGACAAAAGGACTTTGTGAGAATGGAGATGAGGTTTATTAGACCTCTTTTAGGGACGGGGCGCACTCCCAAGCTGCTCTGCGAGAAGGGAAAAGAGCAGAGCAGTAGCGAAGGGGGCTGGCTCCCAGATCAAGAGTCCAGAGACAATGTCTCCCAAGGGAGGGGCTCAGGAGGCACAGGCTGAGGCTATGTGAGACGAGACAGACGTTAACCTTGTCTGGGAAGGCGGGCAAATGTGCGCGTGACTAAGAAAGGCGCTGGGATTGAAGTTGGAGGAAAACTGTTTCCTCCCCACGCGGGGGGCACGCAGCTGAGCCCTGCCGCTGGTGGGTGGGAGTAGATGGGAGGGGCGGGGCTATGGGAGGCTATGGGAGGCGGGGCCAGGGTCAGGCAGCCCTAGACGGATCTCTCTGCTCCTTAGCCCAGGACTCTAGCGAGATGGTTACTCCTAACTCTTTCAGTTTGGTCTTCTCCCTGGAGCTGAGGTGGTTTTCCAGGTCTTGGCAGGGCCCTTATTTTTGATCCCCTTTGGTTGGCCAGAGATCTCTTCAGTGCTAGCACTTTGCTGGGTTCCATCACTCCCATCAGCAGGTTGCCAGATTCACCCAAGGTCAGAGGCCAAGAGCTGGCTGGGCTTCAATATCTACTCCGACTCGCTCATCTTCCTTCTCTGTGAAGCCACAGAACACCACTGAAATGTGCACACTGGTGTCCACCAGAGTCAGAGCTCAAGGATAAGGACTGTCCTGTTTCTACCTAACACTGTCTGGAAGCAAATGCAGGTGCCTTCT